AAAATCATATCATGGTTGAATTTTGTTCAGAAAATTTAAATTTCACGAATTACGTATTTAATTTTATTATTTTTCATTTTTTTTTCTGTTTTAAATAATAACATAATTTTCCACTAGTGGAATCTTTTTTTCCATTTCGAATGATGATTATTAGGTAGCCAAATGGTTTTTTCTTTCTGCAGGGTAGGAATTCAATTCAATTCAATTTCGAATGAATGAATGAATGACAGGTAGAAACAAATATTCAGATCATATCACCTGCATCGATTGCCAGAAGAGAGAGAGAGCGATCAACTAAAAACTACTGGTTGACCTCAACTACACACTAATGAATGGATGAAAAAAAATGTGCTACTGCTGCTTTTTTTTGCTGATGTTTCCATGTAATCAGATCAAATTAAATCAAAGAAAAACAATAACAAAAATAAAAAGAAAACTCAATCTTGTCATTTTCAATTGCATCATTCTTCATTCTCGAAAAAAAAATTTTTCAAAAAAGAACCTGATCAAGTAGTAAATATTAGCATCAAAACAAATTGACATTAGATCAGATCACATCAAACACAGAACAACTACAAGCGACAACAATTTCAATTTTTTCGACACATTCAAATCACACACACACTACACACACACAATGGGATTTTAAACTTGTACGTCGAATAATCATCATCCATTTTTTTCGAGTAATTGGAAAAATTTAAATTGAAAACGTTCATCATCGTAAATCGTATCAAATGTGGTTATTAATTTTGTCACGAGGTTGTTTGTCACATCCATTCATTACCTGATTATGTATTTGTCACACAAACAAACAGAAAAAATCCGATTCATATAGACAGATAGACAGACAGGCAAGGAAAAAAATCAATCGAAATAATCATTTGATTGATTGATTGTTTTTGATTGATGATGATGATGATGATGATGATGATGTTTCATCATACACAAATACACACAATGGGACACCAGATGATGATGATGATGATTACTTTATGATTTTTAATTTTCAATTCAATGATATAATTATCAATCATCATCAATGATGATCAATAATAATAATGATGACTGTGAACAGTAAAAAAAATTTTCAAATGAAATGAAATGATCCATATACATATGAGAAAAAAACAAAAACACACACACACACATATGTATCATGTGTGGTTGATTAATTTTCAATTTTGATTTTCAATTTTATTAAAAAAAATACAACGAACGAATGAATTATGATTATGACTGTGTTGTGTACGAGAAACAAAAACAAAAACAAACCAAAACAAAAAACAGCAAAAACAATCGATGAATGAAATTTTTTTTATTTCTTCTTGTCCATCATTTGTGGTTATTATTATTATTATTGTTGTTGTTTTTGTCCAGCGTTTTGTTTTCACACATATGTGAAACACAAACATAAAACAGACATAGAGGCAGAGATCGAGACACAGTCAGAAAATGAAAGAATCAAATTATTTTTTTTGCTTATTTGATGAGAAAAAAAACGGAAATGATTCAGAAGTGAAAATTATTGACAAATTATTGCCATCCATCCAACCATCCATCCATCCGTTTACACATGAAACAAACGAAAATTGATTCCCTCATTTAAATTTAAATTTAAATTTATTGGCCTTGAATTTTTCTTCAAGCTATCAATTTTTTTTGTTGTTGTTGTTGTAATAATTTTGCATTAAACGAATTTTTTGTTGTCATCATCATCATCATCATCGTTATCGTTATTAACAATTTTACATTTTACATTTTATTTAATGACAACAAAAAAATTTTCAATTTTAATTTTTTTTTCTTCCACTTTTCCATGTGGGCAGAGTATATTCATAATCATCTTATTTTTTTTTTTTCTGCTCCACACACTCACATGCACACACACACTGATTATACAAGCAAACGCCTACGATTTTAAAGTTTTTTTTTCAAATTCATTATCTTGATACATCATCATGTGTTTGAAATGATGATGATGATGATGAGAGGGAAAAAATGTTTCAAAAGTTTGCATTTTCGAAGCTGTTAACAACAACAACAACAACATGATGTTTATTACATTGATTTCATTAAACTATCGGAAAATACGACATTTTTTATCTGCAATTTAAATTTTTTTTTCTGCTCAAATGGTTGATGTTGTTGTTGTTGTGGGAATGATTGAAATGATTTTTTTTCAATATTAATCAGCCGTGTTCACATTATGTCTGTATCAAATCGATTTAATTGATCATTCATTGGTCCAATTTTCCGTATTAGCAACTTATATATGTTTCAATATTAAAAAACGAATAATAACGACGATAATAACCAAAATATCGATTACCGTATTTGTGTTTGTTTGTTTGTTTTTTTTTTTTTCATTTCTCCATAATTTTTATTGATCAATTCTTTTTCTCTCTCTTCAAAATATCATGATGATGATGATAATTGACGAAATATTTATTATGACAACATTATCACCAGCTGCAGCTGCAAGGCTTTGAAACATACTGCATAATTTCAATTGGATCGATTCCATTTTTTTTTTTTTTTTTGAAAAAAGGACCACCATTTCCAATGTATTTCAGCTCAACATTCATCATCATCATTATTCCCATATATTAAGTGATAAATGTCGTAGTTGCGGCTGCTGAGGAAAAAAAATACAACAAAAATTATTATGGTTATATATGCCGGCCTTATCATTCGGGACAATTTTCATTTTTTTTTCTTTTTCGTTATCTATTCAATATTCGAATGAGAAGAAAAAAAATTGATATTTTAATTACCTGTGTGTGTGTGTGTGTGTTTGTACATTACTGGGAAAAAATACGAAAATGATTGCAGAAAACTTTTTCTTCTTTCTTCTATTTTATTGTTTGTCGCGTGTTTTGCTCGATTGTTGTTCACCGAATGATTAATTATTCTATTTTGAATAATTGTCAAGTATTTTTTTTTCTTTCTACTGTCTTTCTTGTTTCATCGTCGAATTCATTTTTCAGATATCGATCCATCTACAAGAGAAAAAAAACGAAGAATTAAATTCAAAAAAAAATTAAAAGTTTTCAAATGGCCATGGATACCAACCATATCTTGAGTGTGTGTGTGTGTGTGTGTCACCAAAATATTTCAATGATGAATATGGATCGATTATCGAGAAACTTTGGAGAAATTCATAATTTTCATCCGGTTTTATAATTATCATTGTCGATGAATTTCAATTGATTTTTTTCTTACTTTTCAATACGAAAAAAAAATTTGAATTCACAGAAAAAACTTCACATAACAGTTGGGATGAGAAACACTATTAATGGAAATTGAAAGAAATAGATAATCACGAACCATATTAATAATAATGATGGTGGTGGTTTTTTCCTTCTTGATTCGATTTGAAAACAACAACAAGAATAACGAGAAAATAAACTTGTACTAAAATCTGAACCAAATTTTTCCGAATGGAAACAAATTATCAAATCTCTATAGAGATATATTAGAGCACTTTTCTTCTTTTTGCTCTTCTTTTCTTTTATGGATTCCACTGACTGACTAATTTACCAACTTACATCATTAATGATGATGATGATTTTAAAGATGAATTGAATTCGAAATGAACAAAGAAAAATTGGTGGAAAAAGTTTTTTTCGATAGTCGAAGGAATTCGATTGATTTCACGAATTGATCAATGATGCCTGCCATCAGTTGTTTTTTTTTTTTTCTTCATTTCAAATTCCCATTTCATCTACATTATAAGCTCGTGTTTATTGATGCAGCTCGATAAACGATATATTTACACCTTTATACCGACATCGAATGAATGGTAATAGTGATATTTCAGACATTTCATGGTATTAATGGTAATAAATGTTCCTATAATTAGTTAATTATATATACGTAATTTCGTAATCATTATTTATTTCTGTGTGTTAATTAATGAAAATACTTAAATAACTTTACCGTCTTGACTGGTTGAATTAAAAATTGATGATAGTCGGTTGGTTTTGGTTTTGGTTTTGGTTTCGGTTTTTCGTTGCTGTTGTTGTTGGCTTTGTTGACCTTGTTGTTTGAATATATTTGAATCGTAGATTTTCGACTTTTCTCTATATAGAGAAAAAAAAATCTGAAATTTTTTCACCTGATTTCACATCATCATCAAATAAATAATAAATAAACAGCAAAAAAAAACCAATGGTGAAAAGAAATCGTTCGAAATTTTTTCTCTCTCTCTCTCCGATACATGATCCGCCATCTAGTGACAATTTAAATGTTTTTAATTTTAATCAATTAATAATTTCAATTTGCAATATTCGAATCGAAATCAAATGAAAAAAGTTTTTTGTTGTTGTTGTTGTTGTTGATGATGAATATTTTTCAATTATAATGATCAAAAATATATCAAACACATACGGACGAATGGTTCACAGCTATAATTCGACTAAATTCAATCAAAAAAAAAAAAATCAAAACAAGTTTCGAATGAATTTGATTAATTGAATCATCCAAATCTCTTGATATTTTATAATGAAAATTCACACACACACACAGACAGAAAACTTTAATTTTCGATGTAATTGATATTGCGGCATCGGTTGATGACTTAACATTTTTCTTTTTTTTTTCTTCTCCACAATTCGCAATAAATTCAATTTGCAAAACATCATGATAACATGAACAAACTGTGTACTACTACTACTACTGAAGTCAAAAACAAAAAAAAACAACAACAACAACAACAACAAAAATTCAATGAAAATGTAAAAGCAAAGCCGATGAAAAATTACAGATTCAGATGAATAAATTCGATTAATACTAATATACACCTGATCTGATTTATCACACATCATTATTTTTTTCTTTCTTTTGGCTTGGATAATAAGATTTCTCATGGTAAATATTTCATTTTGATTGATCAATTTCAATTTATTATAATTTTTATTTACAGTAACAAAAAAAAATGAAAATAAAAATTTTAAAATTTTTCAATTTCCTAAATATTTTCTTTATTTTTTTTTTTTTTTTGACTATTCAGTTTGTTTTTTTTCTTTCCTGATTCCTGGACGATTTACGATTTTTCGATATAACCATCAATAACATAATAACAGGTAAATAGATTAATGAATAAAGAAATAATTTTCTCGATGTCTGTGATGATGGTTCCCGTTGAAATCGATATGAAAGATAGACAAGATATAACGAAAATGGTAATGAATCGATACCGAATGACCAATGTGTCATATCCGTTGCACACATTGCTGCCGTATAGCCTAATAATAGCGTTGAATGTCGTAATGCTGTTTGTTGACATAATCGTGGATTAGTTACGGACATCATACGATAACCAGCACGTGCATATTCATGACGCATATTCCATGAAAGTGCATTGAAATGTGGAAATTGCCATGAATATAATATCAAACCTAATAATAATGATGGTAAATCTATATATAAATTGAACAACAAAAAAAAAAATTCGATTAATTTTTTCAAATCTTCATTCATCGATAGATATAGAAAACACATACCAATAAAATTATTGACAGCAGTGAATCCCATAATTGGTGGAATGGCACCAACAATTGCACCGATCCAAGTATTAACAATATGTACACGTTTCATTGGTGTATACATGAATGAATAGAGACAAAGATTAATACCACCCAATAATGCTGTCAATGGATTAACATAGGTGGCTAATATTGAAAGTCCCGCAACACCGGTAATCGTAGCAAATGTTGCCGCATGTAATGGTGTTAATGATCCTTGAACTAATGGTCGTGCTTGCGTACGACGCATCTGTGAATCGAATGGTACTTCAAGAAAATGATTCCATGCAGCAGCTGATCCTGATGTCAATGCCGTTCCAATCAAAGTTGATGCTAATATCGTTGGATTTACCGATGATTCGATAGCCATATAAAAACCGGCCATTGTTGTCAATACAACCAGACCGGTTAATTTGATTTTAGCCAATTTTGAATAATCATTCAAAACATTCGATATCGTTGATGGTTGAATATCTTTCCATACATTTTCAATATTGGTTAATTGATTTTTATCTAATGATTTTGAAAATTCTTTTGATAATTCTCGAAAACGATGTTCATCATATTCAATGATCGCTGATGATGATGATGATGATGGTTTAGGCAGCAAATCTTCAGCTGTTGCTGTTGCCGATGTCGTGGTAGTAGATTCATCATCTGAATGAATCAATTTAGTCTGTTGCTGTATTGATGAAAGAAACCGTAGATTTGAGGCAGTTTTATTATTAGATGGACCATTATGATGGTGTAGAATTAAAATTGATGTAAAATTCTGATTTCGATGATGGTGATGGTGATGGTGATGGTGATGGCAGCCAATCATAAAGGATGGATAATTTGTAGAAATTATTGAAAATTTATTACCAACATTCTGATGATGACCAAATTTCGTTGATGAACCAATTTTGCCAAACAATTTAAACATTTCTCAATATACCATTCATTTGATTTTTTTCTGATAAAAATAAAAAAAAATTTAATAAATTCTTCATAGAATCTTTGCAAACATTCTTTATGAATTTGGAAATTTTTTAATTCTCTTTATATATACAAAAATTAAAATTCTCACACGTTTTTTTGTTTTATTGCTTCAAAATATATTTGCAAAGACAAATTGAATGTCACTATTTTGACTATAATGGTCGATACAGTAGAAAATAGTTGCTCATCATCATCGATTCTGATGATTGATGATGTCAATCAGTGAGCCGCATCACATTATTAGCCGCCTCGCCTTTTCAATTGTTTTTATTTATATTTGTTTATCATCTATGGATTAAAATTAAATTTTTTTTGTGCAATTTAAATCGAATGAATGAATGAATAAACAGCGGTATATGCCAAAAAAAACGACAGTTCAACAGTTCGACAGTTCAATCATAAACGATTTCAATTTTCTTCAATTTTTTTTTGTTTGAAAAAAAAATTATAAATGAAAACAATGCCTTCATATCATTCAAAATTAACATCAGATCGTTCGGTTGGCAATATGGCATTATTACCATTTCGAACGAAATTTCGTGGCCCAATCATATCGAATCAAATGACAATGATGATGAACGGTAATACTAATGGTAATGGTAATGGTAATGGTAATGGTAATGGTAATGGTAATGGTAATGGTACGATAACAAATGGCCAATCTGAACCACCAATGGATATAATTGATGAAACATTATTCTATTTTAAGCCAAATGTATTTTTTAAAACATATGAAATACAATCAAATGCAGATCGTGTATTAATCTATTTAACATTATATATTATTGAATGTTTGAAAAAATTACAACGTTTAAATACAAAAGAACATGCTATTGCCGAGATGCATGCATTGGCCATTTCACGATTTGATATACCAGGTAAATTGATTGATTGATTTAATATTTTAAAAAAAAAAAAAAAAAAATTAAAATCATCCATTTTTCCAATCAGGTGATCCAGGATTTCCATTGAATTCTGTATATGCAAAACCATCAACAGCTGAAGAACAAGAGTTAATGCGTCAATATTTTTTACAATTACGGCAAGAATGTGGTCTACGTTTAGCTGAACGTGTATTTGAAACAGAAAATGGTAAACCATCCAAATGGTGGCTTTGTTTTGCTAAACGTAAATTTATGGATATTACATTAACCGGTAATGTTCCTAAATGATAAGGATCACTTGAAATCACAAATAAAAGTATATATCATCATTTTAAATGTTCAAGTTTTTTTCTCTTTTTCTGATGCTGCTGTATTTATTATTATTATTATTGATTGATTGATTGATTAATTATCTTTGAAATGTAAAATGATCTTTTTTTTGAACATTTACAAAACGCTTATGTACGATGATGATGATGATGTTAGGAGATTTATCCATTAAAATAAATGATTCTTTTACAATATGGTGGGGGAAAAAAAGGTTTATCTTAAACATGCATGTTTCCAGAATCGAATTGTACGAAAATCTTGTGGTAATTTTTTTACCGTTACTACAGTATCTTCGACAGGCGAATTAATTTTTATCTGACGTATATGTGTATCACGACCATTTTGATGATTACCGAGTACAGCAATCTGTATGAGAAATGCACGTATAGGATGATCATCAGCATCACGTAATGGTATAGTTTCCCAGCCCGATGGTTCATTCAATTCGACTAATGTAACTTCATGTAAATCATGAAAATGATTACCAGCACGAACGGAAATCTTATTCGGTGTATATGATTCATCTAGTTTAAAATCGGCAAATATTTTTATTTCACAAACAGTCGTTTTACGTCGAAATTGTATGTTGACCAAATGCGGTTGTACACCATCCGATTGCCAATACGTATCTTTACAATTATCACGTAATTGTTCAACACCAAATCCTACTTTACATGATGACAATGACCAAACGGCTTGTGAACCAATTTCACGTACAACTGATTTTTGCCGTTTTAGTTCATTATTCGAATTCGATTCTTCATCACTACTGTTTGTTTGATCAATAAGCATCATCATTGTATTTGTTGATTGTTGATGATTTTTATTATTTTTCATCGACGACGATGATGATGATTTTGATGTATTAATTACATTAATTGATGAACGATGTAAATTATTCATTTTTTATGTCAAAAAAAAAATTTTAATCTTCAAAATTTGAAAAATACAAAAATAAATCAAATTTTCAACGAAAAAAACTCAATCCATTTCTATCCAACTATGACGACTATTTCGACTTTTAAGTGGTGAACCTATTTTTTTCGAAAAATAAAATTTCCAAAAAATTCTAATTGGAAATTTTCAAACCTTGAATTGTTTTGTTTTGTTGCATTAGAAAAATATTATGTGAACCAAAATGGTTATGGTTGATTTAATCGAAAAAAAACACTTTTTTCCTCATTAGTTTGTAGAGAAAAAACATTTTTCCTGTCTATTTGCATATATGGTGGCTAATTAACCAACTTACTTGCCAACTAATTATTCATCATCAAGATAATCGATTATGACATGAAACAGAATACAATGCGTTTTATCGACCAAAATCATAATGAATGATCAATAAGAACAAAACGAGTACAACGAAATAATATATCCTGTGTATGCATGATATTTTTTTTCCATTCAAACTAATCATCAATGAAAAAAAAACGAAACCGACATTTTTTTTTGTTTGTTTCTTCTTTGAAAGAACAAAAATAATCAATGTTATCGTCATTGTCAAGGTGACAGGAAAATGTAAAAAACGTCAAAAAACAAAAAATTTGGAAATGAAAGTAGTACACCATTCTCGACAAACACGCTGATCTCGAATACTCGAATATTCGAATTCAATTCGTGTGTATTGACAACCAAGAATAAAAAAAATTAGTTTTTCTTCCTTTCACCATGGAAAATAATCAACATCTTCATCCATTTCAATTGTGGGATAATCGATAAAAAAAAATTTCCATTGAAATCAAGATTCAATCATTGTTGCAATCATCTAACGAAACAGAAAAAAATTTTTTTGTTTACTGTGAGCAACCAGCATGCATTCACATGCAATATATCAAACGGGACAATTAACGTTGTATGGCGCAATTGGGATGTGAAATATGGATGTATTTTATTATTTCCAATTTTTATTAAATTAATATTTCAATAAAATCAATTAAATTTCAATATATATGGATTAAATTAATATGGGGGGTAAAGGGAATAAAAGGGGGTCAAAATTGCTGCAACAATCGTGATGAACGACACTAACACATACTATAAAAACAACAATATAACATGCCATCATATGATAGTCGTAGTCAACAAAAAAAAAACGACGTCAAGCGCTGATGTTCCAATTGGATTTATATATCTTTCCGTGTGTTTCACAATTTTTTTTTTTTTTTTTGGTAAACACATGCTCAAATTGATAAGTATGTGCATTGATTGATAAACAAAACATCAGCTAATTATTATTACCATATCTTTATTCATCATCGAAATTGAATGTTTTTTGTTTTGTTTTCATTATCGAACCACACACACACACACACTGATCGATGATGATTCATCATGATCCACTATCAAGTATTTTTGTTTGACACATGAACGGAACTAAATAAATTTTCAAAATTTGCAAAAAGAAAAAAAACTTATTGAAAGAGAAAGTTTTTTAGTTAGTTGTTGTTGTTGTTGTTGTTTGATTGTTGATGAGAGAAAATGCGAGTGAAAAAAAAATCAACGACCTCGATACTTTTGTGTATATATGAAGAAATTATCATCATCATCACCATCATCATAAATTTTATTAAATGAATTTGTTTTTTCATTGATTACGTCGTGCATTTTCTTTTTTTTCATCTTTTTTTTCCTGCTATATTATATTTACCTTCAATCAACGAATAATCAAACAACAACAAATTATCAGAAAAAAAATAGTCAAATCTCAATGAGATTGTATGTGATTTTTGGCATGTACGAAAAACAAAACAAAACAAAACAAAACAAATGCAAATGAATCACCAAACATCATCATTCATCATCAATGATAATTCATAAGAAATTTTGTCAAATCATCATCATCATCAGAATTTTCTGCGTATGAAAAAGTTGTGTGAAAATCTTCTATATGTATATATGCATTTTATTGGCCACAATATTGGTTGGTTAGTAACACCATATTGATTTTTTTTTGTATTTAAAATATTTTTTTTTTGTTAATGACTAATGGCCTGAATTTTTTTCATTTTTCCTGTATCATGGACTATGATAACAACGAAAAAACAGGAGCAAATTTCACCGTTGACTAATCCCTTCAAATCGATGGTTTTTGTTTTCGTCATATCTCTATCTTTCAGATGTATGTACGTTTATGTTCTACTATCTCTCTCTCTCTAACTCTGTTTTTTGTTGTACATGTTTAAACAGTAAAATTGTTATGATTTCGAAATAATGATGTCTTGATAATACACAATGAATGAATGACTAAACTAATGAACGAACGACAATGTCAAAAAGTTCGACAGTGAATTCAATCATTTCATATGATGTGAATGTCGATGATGATAACAGTAACAGTAGTAACAACAACAACAACAACAACAACGATAAGACAACAATCACATATGAAAATAATGATAATAATAATGATACAATTTTGAACCTAAAACCCAACTGTATACCTGTCAATGATCAAACATCATCATCATCATCATCATCATCAATTGCGATGACCGTCAATTCACATTCAATCAATAATAATTCAGCAATAAATACTGAAACTCATACATGGAATAATAATAATAATAATGAACATTTTAATGGTAGTAAAAATCGTTCATCATCAATGATTGTCATTCCAAAATATCATCGTTCTAATGAGAATAAATCTACAATAATGAATAATAATCATCATCAAAATTTATTACAACAACGAAAAACATCGATGACCAATTCAATGATTGATGATCGAAACAATTGTGCCTTAACGACGACGACGACAATGATGAATCCATCGTTTAAAAAAAGTACGAATGGTTTCATCATTTTAGATAATAAAAATGTCTATGATTGGACTGTACATGATGTTGGCCATTGGTTAGAACAGAATGATTTTAGCGATTATCGACAATTATTCTGTGATCATCATCGTATTGATGGCCGTGTATTAATCAATCTAACTGCCGATGATCTTCGTTCTGACCCATTAAATATACAGATTTTTGGTGATATAAAACGATTTTCTATGGCATTTGATTATCTACGATCTATTTATCTATCATCGAATAATTCAATGGAAGATTTTAATAAAAATCATAATCATCAAAATACAAAATCAACCATTTCCTCACAATCATCATCAACGTCAACAACATCATCATCATCAAATAGACATTCATTAGTGCAACCGAAATTTTCCAATGGAAGCAATAAATCTATAAGCAATCAGATGCAACCACCACTAAAACAATATTCTATCCATTCAAACGATCAACGACAACAACAAATACAAAATCAAATGGAAAATAATAATGAAAATATACAGGAAATGGAAATAACATTTAATGGCCATAGTGGCAATGACGACGATGATGATGGTGAAATTGAACGTATGCGAATTTATAATGATCATGAGGAACAACAGCAATCAAATCTTACCATTCTATCAAATTGTTCATCATCATCTTCATCATCACCAACAGCATCTATTGGTTGTTCATCATCATTTACATCATCATCAATATCATCGAAAGCAAGTAATCGATCCGAAGATAATGATGATGACGATGATTATGCTGATGCAAACGAAAGTGAATCAACAATGTTGTTGAACCATGGTTCTATTATAAATAATAATCAATTGAAATATCGAAATAATAATCATCAAATTCGTATTGTACCACAATTGACCACAAGCAATGATTTAGCACAGATGATTGCCATTTCACATCCAGGTCAAAAACAACAGCCAAAATCATCAACAGTGAAGAATCGAAATTCTAGTCATCATCATCAGCCGCAATCGTCATCCTATCAGCGAAATAATTATCAAAATATTACAAATTATTCTTCTACTTCAGACAAAAAACACCGAAAACATCACCGTAAAAATAATCACAATCACAATCACAACCACCACCACCATCATCATCATCATCATCGTCGTGAAGTTCGACAAGAATCATGGAAAGCATTGATTGCTCTGATATATTTTTTCTCATCCACTTGGGTAACGGCCATTGTAATGGTTATTGTACATGATCGTGTACCAGATATGGATACTTATCCACCATTGCCAGATCTGTTATTGGATAATCTTCCTTTGATACCATGGGCATTTGGTATGGCCGAAACATGTGGTCTAATCCTGTTTATCATTTGGGCATTAATATTGATTTTCCATAAGTATCGGTATGAATTTGTTAAACTTTTATCCTTCATAAAATTAATTAATATATTTTTTCAGATTTATTCTTTTACGTCGAATGTTTTCATTATTTGGTTCTGTATTTCTTATCCGTTGTTTTACGATGGTCATTACATCGTTATCTGTTCCTGGTCGTCATCTTCAATGCAAAGCACGGGTAATTGAAAATAATTTGAATAATAATAATTTGGATTAACAAAAAAAAAAAAATTTTTTAGCCATACGGCACATGGACTGAACGTTTACATCAGGCATATCTTATTTGGCAAGGTGGTGGTATGGCTCTACAAGGTGTACGAACATGCGGTGATTACATGTTTAGCGGTCACACAGTCGTATTGACAATGCTCAATTTTTTCGTTACTGAATGTATGTTTTGATTTTGTTATTCAAGATGTAATTTATCTTTTTCTTTTTGTCTATAGATACACCGCCTAGCCTTTATCTAATTCATACAATGTCCTGGGTACTTAATCTATTTGGTGTATTCTTCATTCTTGCAGCTCATGAACATTATTCAATTGATGTGTTCATTGCATTCTATATATCCACTCGTCTATTTCTTTATTATCATACATTGGCCAATAATCGAGCTTTATATCAAAGTGATCGTCATCGTACACGTATATGGTTTCCATTATTTTCATTTTTTGAATCTGGTGTATCTGGCATCGTACCAAATGAATATGAAATACCATTCCGGCGGCAAAAAGATAAATTAATTAATTATCTTTCAAGAAAAATTTGTCAAATATCATGGATACGAGCAATATTTGATCAAGATGATTATTATTATTATAATGATGATGATGATGATTGCGATCATGATCATCATAATGATTATGAACAATCATTATCGGATTGGCCATCCGATCAATCTGATCATAATAGTGATAATAATCCATTACTTATATCATCATCATCTACAACAACAACAACAACAACGCAGCCACAATTGGCTCAAAATTCAAAATTAAAAATTCAATAAAACACATATATACATAAAAATCCATCCATTCATCTATCAATCTTGTTAAATTGTTTTCCCATTATTATAACATTTACTTTGATAAATTTATTAACTACTACTACTACTATATATAGAGTTTTTAAAAAAATTGATGATCATTGTGATGATATACGAAAGTTGTTTGTTTGTTAATTTTAATCAATCAAAAAATTAAAAAAAAAGAAATGTTTCTAAATATACAATTACAATCAATTGATTTCTATACAAATCGATACATTAAAATGGCCAATATACTTTTGATTGTAAATGGATTCGATCCTTTAACGATTGATAATGTGATCGTTCCAATTTAAGTTGTTCAATAGCCGTACGAAATTTATGTTCATTTTTACGTAGATATATTTGTGCATCCTGTTTCATTTGTTCCAATTTTTCTGGACGATTTTCATCGATTGTTGAATAATCAGTGAGCATTGGATTCATACGATAATATACCTGATTCGGTAACATATCTTGCATTAAACGATGTATCATTTCTGTATCGGTTGCCGAATCGATAAGACGTAGAATTTTATGTTTCAAACTAGATAAAGTAACATCTTTGTTATCATGTGATTCAATTGTACGATTAGATGGAGGCTGATAACGGCCACTACCCAACGATATGACACATTGTATCTGTTCGTTTGGCCATAATAATTTTGCTTCATGTAATGCAACAGCTGTTGGATTGTTCAATAGAATACCACCATCCTGATGAACATGTTTATCCAATGTGAATTCTTCAAAATAACCAGGTGCAGCTGATGAAGCACGCACTGCTTCCCATATACGATGCATAGAACCACCATCAAAATGACTTAATGGTTTCGATGAAGGATGAAGCTCATAATTACGAAATAGATATGGTTCCAATGTAGGAAGATTAACAATGGCCGATATGACAACCATATGTGGACAATCGGAACTTTTTTTCGTATGAATCAATCTTATATCACCATAGATTTGTTTGAGAATTTTTTCATAAACATTTGTATCATAATATGCATGTGACCATAGTAGACGACCAGTACCACGAAGAACATCGGTTTTGAATAGATATGAACTGACTTGTCGATAATAAGATTCACATTCATCAATAGGTATGCGTAATGCACCAAGTAACATGGCAATAATAGCACCAGTACTTACGCCACAAATCAAATCAAATATCTTATGTATTGGCTGGCCATATTGTCGTTCAATTTGACGTAATATTTCTATGACCAATAATCCTCGTGTACCACCACCATCAATACTCAATACACGTATACCACGACCTTTCGGTGGATCAGCATGTCCAAGTAACGATATTATCTGTCTAGAATTTTCATTAACAAATCGATGATAATTTTTATGCAACAATCTGGTCTGATTAATTTGTTGACTAGAAGATTTTCGTTTTTGTGGTAGTTTCAGCCATTCTGATATGGATGTTCCATTTATCAGAAATTGTGAGAATTCACGTATTTTCAATAGTTTGGATAGAATATTCTTACGAACAGCAAGATTTGATGCTTCAGGATACGTTTGAAGATGATCGTACAATTGTTTCAAACGAATGTTTAGTGAAATTGCATTCGGCAATGTTGCTATCGACCATGAATGTTTCAATGAATTGACCAATTTTTCCGTACGTTTGATTCTTTCGATTTGCGATAATTTTTTCAATAACACATCATTCGATAAGGATTTTGGTTTAGATTTCTTATCCACCATTTTAGTTTCGGTGGTGGCATTGCTGGAAGTGGTTTGTTTCGATTGCAAATTATTTGGATCGACAGTTTCGGAAACGGTGGGCAGTTCTGTTGATGATGATGCATTTTCAGTTTTAATTTTAATTTCAACTGAATATATTTTATTGGGAACCGATTTTAAATATGAACGTAATGTTTTCAAAGAATTTGCCGTTATTGGTATTATAGATTTCATGTTTATTTTATGTATGAATAAAATAAACGAAACGTTGTTGTTGTTGTTGTTGTTTTGTAGTGATTAAAATTGTAATTTAGATGACGAATAATTTCCTTTTTATAATGGAGAAAAAAAATCATTTCACATCTTCATCATCACAAGTTCAGTGCAATCACAATTCGACAAAATATCTTGCAGATGATCCGGATCTCATCTATGATTTATCATTATGGTGGCCAAGTCATATGATGCAATGCGCAGTTTTAAAACAATCATCCGTCGTATGATGATTAGAAATAACAATCAACCTTGATGATGATGACGTAGTGATGATGATTATGATGATGATAAATTGGGAAAGCCCTTCTTCTTTTTTTGCTATGATCATCTATTAACCATATGATACATGAATACGTCTGATTTTTTTTTTGAATGGAACTCATAATTCATGTGACCATTTTTATTTTTATTTTAACGAAAACAAACAATTAAAATATTATAATCGATTGTATCGATAAAAGAACCGATTGTCGCTTTTTCTCCCCGTTTTTTTCATAAACAGACAGACAGACAGACACTCACACGTGATTGTTGATATTAAGAATTTGATGTTTGACACTTGTATAGAAATCGGATCGAATTTGATGATCATCGTTTTTATTTTTTCAAATCATCAATCATGGAAATTGATAGCGAAGAAGAACGTCGACTTCAATCAAAACTGAATGAATGTGCGACCACTTTTATGGACAAGAAAAATGTTTTGGATGCAAGAGATAAATTATTACGCTTACGAAAAGATCGTCAAACCGATTTATCAAAAGCAGTGGCCGTCGTTGGGACATGTCCTGACATGTGTCCCGAATTGGAACGATATTTTCGTATCGAAACAAATCAAGTATCACCTTTTGAAATGGATTCAATGGCCAATCCTAATGGCCGACCAGACGAAATTCGTATGGTGAAAGAATATCGACGTTCTGGAGCTGATCAAGAAGAACCTTTGGCTCATGAATTAAGACCTATTCATGTGTTGGAATATACAATGAATTATTTGTGTTTAGAAATTGTTGATCGATATGAAATCGATGGAAACATGGCCGAATGGTTTGATTTTATCTGGAGTCGTACTCGTTCGATACGTAAAGACATTACGCAACAACATCTAATCGATCTTAAATCTGTAACACTGACTGAACAATGTGCACGATTTCATATATTCTGTGCCTATTATCTTTGTGAACAAGAAATGAAAGATTTTGATCCGAAAATCAATGAAGAAAATCTCAATAATTGTTTACAGACATTGAAAGATTTCTATAATGATCTAAGTATTCGTGGAATATATTGTGATAATGAAGCTGAATTTCGTGCCTATGATATTCTATTGAATCTTGGTAATGGTGAAACATTGAGTGAATTGAAACATTTTCATGTATCCATAAAACAATCAGCAGACGTACAATTGGCGATCAAACTATATCAATCATATGATAGTAGGAATCATGTAAAATTCTTTCGTTTTGTTCGTCAAGCAGATTTTTTCAAATCATGTATATTGAATCGTTATCTGAATAGATTTCGTATCAAAACATTGAATATTCAACGTAAAGCATATACAATACCAAAATCATCGAATGCAATAGCCTATCCAGTGGCTAATTTAATCGATCTTTTAGCTTTTGATGATTTTAAAGAATTATCTCATTTCTGTAATCGTGTTGGCCTCCAATATGATAATGATAATATTTATTTCCGAAAAAATCATCTGATCGATATCGACAATGGTAACCTCATAACTCGTTCACAGAATTTGGTTATGAACAAATTATATACAACGCCTGGACGAGCCATACTTGGTAATGATTCAATTGAATCAATTCAAATTATACCAGTTCATTCTAGTTTTGATTCAAATGATAAACTAATCTATGATAAGAATAATTTGATTTCAAGCTCCGTAACCATTCATCAACCGATTCGTAAAATTAATGAACCACCACCGCCATTCAATACTGCGACAATTCAAAACACCCCAACAACGGGAATGGCGTTTAATTTTAAAAATCAAATCGATAAACTTGCCATCAAAGATAATGACAATGTTCTCAAAACGACGGATGCGACTCTGTTTCAATTTCCTCAGATTCAAAAATTTGATTCAAATTTTTCATTTAAAGTCAACACAATAGCATCAACACAACAATGGCCTATCGATAAACCTGATGACGATAAAGTTATTGATCGTAGCAAAATAATCGATCAAATCAAATGGCCAATATTCGATTCATTTTTGAAACGTATTATCCGATCGCACACAAAACGAATCTATTATCGAACATTATGGGTTCAAGAATCCGAAAAAATATACCATCAATTAATGGTAGAAAAAATATTCGATACGGTGGCCGAAACAATGGTGAAACAGAAACGTCTCAAAGATATTGTGATTCAAATCTCAATGGATACATTGAATAGCCTGATGACAACGATAATCAGATCAACCTGTGAACAAATCTATTCCGATCATGTTATCAAGATAAATTCATTACGTCAAAATATTTCATTATTGGCCAAAAATTTGTGTGATAATATGTTGTCCGTAATAGCACGATCGGTAATCGAATCGGTCATCGCGGATGAACGTCATCGACAAGATGAACGAATCAAAGAATGGCGTCTTCATTTTATTCAACAAAAATATCTGAATAAATGGTTCCATTATTATCGACAACGGAAACGATATAATTTTTATCGAGATACATTTCCTGCCGCACCGATCAAGATTGCACGAATTAAGGTGCCTATGTGTGATGATAAACCGGATGACAATCTTTTACTAAACAACATTACATTGATCGATGATAATTATATCAAAGTAAATGATTCATTTAAACGAAAACTTGCCTATTCGATGCCCATTGATCAGCAACAAGGTGTAATGAACAAACGATTATCATCAAGAAATGGAATAATGCAAAATGACGATCATCGCTTACTAGGTAAATATTTTCGACGTTGGCTTAGTGAAACTAGACGTGTGAAGAAAAAACGTATTCGTCAACAATTTCCATCAGCTCCAATGATGATGCATTTGTCATCGAACCAACATCATCAACGACAGTATGATGATCAACCATTATCGATTGGACCGAATGATTTAAGCATAATAGATGCATCCATATTGAATGCCGATAAATCATTACATCAAAATCTATTACGAAAATTAAATTATGACTTTGATTCTACAGTGACAATGATACGGAAAACATTATCGGAACGTCGACAACAAAGGCAACAACAACAACAACAACAACAACAGCTTTCGAAAACGATGAATAATGGTGAATTTACAATGTAAACTATATGGAACAGTATTTTATATTGTTAATAATTTTTATATTTAGTTTTATCAAACCTGTAAAATTAATCGAAATAAAGTATACGAATTTTCTCCTTTTCATCCATCCAACCATCCATCCAATTCAATCCGTTCAAGTGACAAATTTATCGTTCAATAATGATATACATACATTAATCAATTGATCAAACTATACATTCATTCAACTATACTAAAGTGACAACAACAAATCAGCTGAACAAATTGATTGGTCAAACAAAACAAATAAAAAAAAAAATAAATAAGAAGAAAAAGGTAACACAACTTTTTTTTTTGATATATACATGACTATAGGACAGTCACAATATTATTGTTGTTGTTGTTTGATGATGATTTTTTTTCTTAACCTGTTACTCTTGTCCATCCAATCCAAATCTAATATTTGGCTTTTCTCTCTCTCAAACACACAAACATCTTTTCACTCTCAAAAAAAAAAAAAACATTATGGCTATTTTTTTTGGCAATCACCTGACTTGTTGAATGATGGTGATGTTCTAATAGCAGCTTTCCGGCCCGCCACTTTTTCATTCATCATTGAATGATCGTTTGTTTTTGTTGTTGTTGTTGAAGATCTACATCATCTAATCTCTTGAAGAAGTGTCTTTCTTTTTTCTTTTCTTCTTCTTATAATATATATATGTGTCTGGTCTTGTGTTGTTTTTAAGACTTATGTACTTCACTTTTACTTTTACTTAAAAAATCTGTGGTGGTGGTGGTGGTGATAGTTTTGATGGAGAGGGGGAGTGAAACGAAAGAAAATCTCATACCCAATAGGTTCATATAGAGTATCATAATTTTTTCTTTTTTTTTTCTTCTTCTTCTTCTTCTGTTTGAAGAGAGTTGTTTTTTTTCTCTGACTTTTTGACTCGATTTTAATTCATTTTTTTTGTTGTTGTTGTTGTTGTTGTTTGTTGTTTGTTTGTTTGTTGTTTGTTTGTTGTATAGCTCTCACTTTGGATAATCATCATTGGAGTTGACTGAAATTATTTTCTATGTCCAAAATAATGCCAGATTTCGGATAACAGAAGCATTACAAACTGCCATCAACGAAAACTACGACAACAACAAATCGTCATTTTTGGATCATAAACAATTCACATAATAATAACAATAAAATCAGTGGACAAATGATAATTGAAACAAAAGTGCAGAATCAGCAACAAGGTGGTAGTCACATCTCATAGATTGGAATTGAATATATTATTGAACGGCGTTGATATACATATTTTATTAATCATTAATGTTAATATCTATCGATTCTGGCGCCAATTCTATTGATATGAGATTCATAATGCGTTATGATGGCACACGTAATATATTCATCTATTCAATGTTTACCACTATTATTATTATTATGGTATGGTATAGCTGTATGATTGTAGAAGCTAATACCGTTTCCGGTGTTTCATCTCGTTATTCATCAAGTTCTTTATCGAAACCACAATCATCATCATCATCATCATCATCAATCATCATCGTTGATTATCAGTGGTGGTAATAATAATCAACGTAGTGAAGTTCGTAAATTTCCTATATTACGTGCATTAGTATCACAATTTGTATCTGATCGTAGTTCACGTGATATGATCAATAAAGATGATTCAGAAATTTTACTTGGATCATTCGAATCATCATCATCATATTCTACACCAACATTTCAATCACAACGAATTAAAGATAATGGAAAATCATTATCATCATCATCATCATCATCATCATCGATTGTGGCTGCCAATCAATCACCAACGATTAACAAACAACAACAACAACAACAACAACAACAGCAGCAGCAACAACAACAACAACAGCAATCATCACAATTGAAACTACATAAACAACATGTCAATAGTTCAAATGTCAAAAGTATACAGCATATAATTGATGATATTAATTCACAAAATAGTAAAATATCGAATAAACGACGAAAACGATTTCTTGTCAATATTTTATCACGAATGCTTAAATCAGTCAATTTTACTGAGGTAAGTCATCAATAATTGACAAGGTTAAACAGGTGTGTGTGTGTGTGTGTGTGTGGACATTCTGGTCAATATAATAATGCTAAATGTGATGTGACATTGTAATCATTGTGTGTGTGTGTGTGTGTATGTGTGCGATGCATTTTGGAACCATTTCTCACCATATCGATAAAATATTCGTGACATTCGTATCAGGAAGTGAATGGTAACTATTGTCACATATGCATACAAAGTTGAAAAAAAAATGAAAGACAATAGCTATTATCACCGTGACAATCGAACGAGTTTTCACCAAAATGACAATGCAATGATGATCATTGAAGAAATAGATTTTTTGTTTGTCCTCAACGTTTTTGTTTTGTTTTGTTTTGTTTTCCGATTATTCAAATATTTGATTGACAATTTGATTGATTGTTTTTTTTTTCATTTCATTTAATTTTTTTTTCCAAATCAAATTTCTAGCTCAGTTCTCAGATGCGAAATGGTATATCATCTCGTGCATCATGTTGGGCATGTAATGCATTAGCAGGATTATTCCTTAGTCCAGTTTATTCAAAAGAAATGATGACAATGGCCGTAAACACTGTTTGTATGTCATTCCGTTTGCAGACACCAAGAGTTTGTTCCGGAATCGTTGATTCATTCAAGGTAATGTTCACACAAGCATTCTGAAGATGACATTGAAACAATTTGCAGTAATAATAACAACAATCAAACCACAAACGAATCATAATAACCATCATATATGATTGAAAGAGTTTTTCCACAAGTATAGTACATTTTATTTAATGTATGCATTAGAATTGAATGAATGGATTAGTTATAGATTTCCTAGTACGTTTTTAATCCCTTTTGGTGGTTTGTTTTGTTTTGTTTGCCAAAGTTAATTTTCGTTTCCTGTCAATAATAATGGCATACGCATACACACACACACACACATTCATAAAATTAATTTTGACTCTCATATATGCGTGACATTCTCAGCCAAGTCAAGCGAGAAATACATAAAGAAACAAGTGCCACCACCACTACTACCATTAATCATTTTTATAAAGAAGAAGAAAGAGAGAGAGAAAGAGAAAGTGATTTGTTTTTTATTAAACAGATATGCTCATCATTAATATATACATATTTATATGTTAGGAAATTCAAAAAAAAAAAAAAAGAAAAAATGCTATACCGGAAAAAGTTTCAATGTTCGAGTGTCATCTTAATGTTGTTGTTGTTGTTGTGGGATATATACAACAACAACAACAAGTAATAGTTGAACATATAGATAAATAGGTCAGTAATTGAACAACAAAAAAAAAAAAAATACATAGGCATGGCTTAGAAATGTCCTCTCTTATATATCCAAATAAAACGATTAAATAGAGAGAGAGAGTAATTCTGTATACATTCAGCATCGTTAATCTAGATTTTTTTTTTGAATGGCATTTGGTCACCTAAAATATAATATTCATATGAATGAGTGACGGAATGACCATATAGATTGATTTGTGAGCCTTGTCAAATGGTGTGTGCATGTGTGTGTGTGTAAGAGAAATGGCCAACAAATTAAAAATATAACCAAGTAACAGACTTGTTCAGCTTGGCCAAATCTTTAACATAAAATCCGAGATCAAATAATAATAATAATAATCAGCCAGTGTTGTTGTTGTTGTTGTTGTTAAATAATTGCCTAGAGTGATGTTCAAATTTTTTTTTTGGCATTCACTTCCGCCACCACCACATATATATACACACACACACACATGCACATGACAACTTCATTAAGCACGCGTTATTTTTTTTTTTTTCATGCATGCATAGCACCCAGCAGAAGAAAAAAAAACACGCGGACACTAAAAAAAAAAAACATAACATAAACTCATACTCATACCAATCCATCATCATTAGTCTAAATCACCAAATCTTAAAAATGAGGCCATCTATATAGAATTGAATTGTGTAGGAATTAATGAACACAAGAAATAATTCTTAATATTAATGGTTTTTTAATTGATTAATTTTTTATTTTTTTTTTTTTCATTAGGATGATCTTGATTATATACGTACACATACAACGCTTAAACATGGTGAAATGTGTGGTGTAATATTCGGTATGGATTGTGCACGTAAAGTAACAAAAAATCTTAATTGGACTATAACTATACCGGAAAGAAAACATTATCGATATTTTTCAAATAATAATGTTAAACGAACGGATAATAATATTGGTAATACGGATACCGTTACTGGTATTGAAAATGAATTCATCACCGTTATGGATTCATATAAAGATTCATATAAAAGTATTAGTAAATTAGTACAAATAACCGATATTCATGTTGATCCATATTATGAACCTGGATCTGAAGCAAGCTGTGGTGAACCATTATGTTGTCGTTCAACAAATGGTTTGGCTAAAAATAAAGATCGATCAGCTGGAATTTGGGGTGATTATCGTAACTGTGATACCCCCGTACAGACATTAAGACATGTACTTAAACATATCAATGAAATGCATTCAGATGTATGGATTATTTATTTTTATTATTATTGTTGTTATTGAATCGATTCATTTATTACACTTTCTTTATAATTCAAAACATAGGCCGAATATTGGTTATGGACAGGTGATGTTGCACCACATGACATATGGAATGTAACCAAACATGAGGTTATTTCCCAAATGAAATTGGTCACTAATCTAATCAAACAATATGCCCGTGTTCCAGTATATCCGGTTATTGGTAATCATGAAGGTGTACCAGTCAACAGGTTAGTTTATTTTTTGTTTTGGTCATGTTTTCGATTTCAATTTCGTTCACACACACACACACACACACACACCACTACATACTACACATAAATAAATCAATCGATTGATTGATTGATGGCCTGATGGCATACAAGCCTTTATATCACAACAAGCTAGCCATCAGGCTATTATGGTAAAATAGTGTTTGACTGTAACAAATTACGTGCTGCTGGTCAAACGGGTTTCACCATCATCATCATCATAATCATCATTTGGGCGCGAGGTCCACAATTCGATCGATCGATAGTCAGTAGCATCAGTAGTAGCATTGGCAAACTCTGTTTGTGTGTAAACATTTGGCTTTGACAAATGTTCGATAAAAAGAGTTTTATCATTATTTTTGGAAATGATGATGATGATGTTGATTATGATATACACTTCAAGTGATGGTGATCGGTTGATTTATAAATACCGACCGATCCAAAAACCATCTATCGGTAGCTTTGATTAGAGTTACAGAAATGTGCATAACAACAGCGGCAGCAAAAATACTCTGATCCAATCGAAACGAAACGAAAAAACGACCTAAAATAGGCTTGATTGACAGGACAATGATGATGATGACCATCCAATATCCAATTCATTGAGCTATGAGCCACTCATTGATATCCTCATCTCTTTCTCTTTTTTTTCTCATTCAACAGTTTTCCACCACCCGAAATTAAAGGATCAAATTCCATTAGTTGGCTATATGATTCGGTTGCAGAAGAATGGGCATTCTGGTTACCGGATGATGCTCTTCAAACATTACGATAGTAATTCCGATTCGATTTGTTTCATTTTACTTACACTATTTTTTTTTCTTAATCCAGTGGCGGCTATTATATGGTAAAACCTCGATCAAATATGCGAGTCATTTGTATAAATACGAATTATTGTGCACGACTAAATCCATGGAGTCTATACAATCCAGTAGATCCGGCTAATCAATTAAAATGGCTTAGTGAAGAATTACATAAAGCTGAAAAAGTTGGAGATAAAGTACATATTATCGGCCATATACCACCTGATAATCGAGAATGTACACAAGCATGGCTTTATAATTTTCTTCGTATAATTGATCGATTCAATGATACTGTTCTAGCACAATATTATGGCCACACTCATCGTGATGAATATCGGCTTTTCTATTCGCCTGGTCATCATGAAGTACCAATTGGATTGGCTTATATTGGTCCAAGTATTACGCCATTCACTGAAAATAATCCAGCATATCGTCTATATTATATGGAAGATAGTGGTTTACTTACTGATCATGAAACATATTATTTCAATTTAACTGAAGCAAATCATAGTAATCGTGGACCACAATGGAAACATGAATATCGTGCTATAGAAAAATTTGGCCTTGATGATATGAGTCCCGATAGTTGGCATAATTTATCCATCAAATTACATACTGATGATAAATTATTTAATGAATTCAAAAATCTTTACTATCGACATAGTGATGTGAAAAAAGATGAAAGATGTACGGATAAATGTCGAAAATATATTCTTAGTGATCTAGCCGTATTACATCCGCTTAAGAATCGACCAAAACGATTCTTTGGCCGTCGTAAACATAGTCATTCAAAGTGAGATTGATTGATCAACAAAACAAAACAAAAAAAACAAAAACAAAAAATCGCCATAATTTAATTTGAGATTGTTTATGTTATTTTATTGAGACCGTCCCATTTTCGATGCCAAAAAAAAAAAAAACAAAACAAATGACGGAACGGAATTACGTTCTTTTTAAAAAAAATGTACATAATATATAACCTACCCACTCTCAATCAATCTATCATTCCATTCTATATGATCCATCATTCATTTCTCATCGATAACACAATGGAAAAAAATGGTGTCTTTTTTTTATATCAATGACAAATCATATCTGGTCTTTCTTCATTCATTCATTCATTCATTATCTCATCAATTTATCTATCAAAGACACATCAGCAGCAGCAGCAGCAACAGCTTCGATTGCTATTTATTTCGAATCTCAACCTTTTTTTTCTTTTGTGTTACTCAAGAATGAATCAAGATTATTATATAGGAATTATTATTTCACCAGATATAGTCATTTGTATAATGTTTACACTTTTATTCATTCATCAATTTTGTTGTTGTTGGTGTTTTATTTTTTTTTTTATTTTTATAATTTAAAAAATTGTGCAAGTAAATTATTTCGAATGATTAAATACAGATTTACGATTTGATAGAATGAACATTAAATCGGCTAGAATTTGGCCAACATTTGTATCTAGAAATATGGACATAATAAGATCGACAAATCTATTTTCATATTTATAAAATAGATAACAATCATTGTGGTCACAAGCCGATGCTAATGTTCGTAATGTACGTGCAGCTAATCCAATAATGTAATTGATTGAACATTCATCAGGATGTTGTAATGACGAATTCGTTGTTGTTAAACATATACCATTCATTCGATTATGAAATTCATTTTGTTCAATAAAGGCTAACAAATTATTTATGACCAAATCAATATGAAGAATGATTCGTGCACTTAATAGATCACCATGGGAAAAATGTGCCAATACAACCAATGATAATTCCTGTAAAACTTGATCATCATCATTTCTGCCAATAGTTTCGACTAATACTCGATACATTTGTTCAATACGATTGAATGGTGGTGTAGCCAATATGAGATCAATATTTGATTGATGAATACTTAATTTGGCTACAATTTCCAATGCTTGTATCTGACAGGAAAGATTATCCGGTGGTAATGGATCACGAGCATATGATGATGAACATACTATCCAATGAAGTAAACCATCCAATAAGGGTAAAATAATTTTATCTGAATATTGACAAAGATCAAGATGTTCGCTAAGATTGGATAATGTAACCAAAGTATTCATACGAATCATATGTAAAGTTTCGAATGAAAAATCATCGAATAATTCACCCAAGAATATTTCATTTTCTTTATCATTATTATTGTTATTATTATGATTACGATTGGTCACTGAATTCAAAATCATTGCAAATGTTTTCTTTTCATCATGTTCATGATTGTATGATAAAAGACGTGCCATTACCAATAATAATGATACATCATTAGCCATCATACGACTATTGGTTATAGAAAATGATGCATTACGTATAATGCTCGATATGCATAGACATCTTTTCAACATGGATTCATAAGCTTCAAGACGAGGACATAAGGTCGATGATATTTCGAATTTTTCAGCCTCATCATCCAATTCAAGTTTTCGTTTTTTCACCATAAAACGTTTATTTTGTTGTGTTTCATTCACATGTTGTTGTTGTTGCTGCTGCTGCTGTTGTTGTTGTTTATCAGTTATTGGCCTAATGAATGGAACCATTTCTTGCATCGGATTCATTGATCGAATGATATGTGCTGTACTCATCGTATTACCATTTTGTAGATATTGATGATCACAAAAAATATCGAGCCAATCCTTTTCTAATTGATTGACAATATTTGCATTCAGATCAACATCTTCTTTCAATTTGACTGGTAAACCATTTCTTGATTGGAATGTATAATTAGTAGAATCAAGTAGATATATACGATCATTCGGTTCGATCAAATTATTACTATTTGTCTTCGAAACAATATTTGGCCCATCGCTATCATTGGACATCATTTTTAGCTGATAATCAATTTTAGTATCTACGAAAAGATCATCAAAAATAGCATCGAGAAAACATTTGTAATATTCAACCAAACGGCCAGATAAATTAGATTGTAATTGTAATTGACCATTACTGGACATTATGTGTAAACAATCAAGTGCCCAAGTTGTTTCAGCCAATAATCCAGATTCAAGACTCATAATTAATTTTTTCATATCTATCGATCCAATTTTTGTTACTTTTCGAATTTTACGAAACATTGGTTTCGTTCGTTCGACAATATTTTCATCCATAATTTGATTAGGAGAAGCTTTTAAAGAAGTAAAGCCTAAAGCTTGACGTAAATAGATATTATTTCCGGGTTTTGGAACATTTTCTCGTTTTACAATATTATTGTTGGATATGATCCGATTTTGATTATTTCCAGCATTGTTATTAATCATGGGCCACATTCGAATTGGTTGTTCCATGACGGAAGTTGATCTTGGTCCTTGATTTTCCATCTGGAAAATTGGATTGTTATATTGCTGAGGCTTGAGATGTGGATTTAGTTTGCTGTTGTTGTTGTTGAATGCGATAATTTGAAATCATTGTAGGATGCTGTTGCATATTGGGCCGATAAATAATTTTCGATCGAATTGGACTAGGATGTTGGGTAGCAGCTTGCATCGGACCATACGAATATGGACGTTGACCAAAATAATGATCATTACGGTTATATGGAACAACGTTTTGATTGTTACCGATGTTGTTATCCGGATTGTTCGAAAAATGGCCAATATTTGATCTATTACCAGCATAAGAAATTTGATTATTATATGATTGATTGTTATCTGAATTTGATGTTGAATAAAATTGTTGTTGACCAACATTCGGTGGTGTCCATGTTTGCCTATTATTATTCATAACCATTATGGGTTGATTTCGATTATCTACTTCTCTTGGCATATATACATTGTTATTGTTATTATTATTGTTTGGTCTGTTTAATGATGAAAATGACTGATGATAATACGAATTTTGAGGATAGATTCGATTTGTCACTGTCGTGACTTGTTGATATTGTTGTTGTTGTTGTTGTTGGTTCATGTTCATAAAATAATAATAATCATTCGATAAGAATGAATAATATAATCATCATCAAATCAATAATAATAATAAACAAATTCGACGCTAAATATGACTAATTTGAAAATGAAAACATTGAAGAAAAATAAAATTTGATGAGTAACAAACACAAAATCACATTTTCATAACAAAAAAAAATGAGTTTAACAGTAAAACACTGAAACAAGTTAGAACAAAATATTATTATTCGAGAAGAAGCATATGAAATAGTTAGGATTTTATACCGAAATAACACAATTTAGAAGCATAGAAAATAGATTGATAAACACATGCCTCCTTCAAACGATGGACGTCTAGTATCGATAGTATTTCGATTATTTTTTTTTTGTTGTTCGGAACTAATAATTCATCCTTTTTTTATCCATTATATCATCTTTTTTCGATAACCACGGTTTTTTTTGGGTTATGTCATATCGATTTCAATGATTTTCCACCAATTGGTTATTTTATAATCAATGTTATATTGGTGATTCAACGGGTTTACACTGGTATATTTCAATTTTATCTAATGTTCTGTGTTTGTGTTGGTTGAATATATACAGGTATATATGATTATTGACCTGTCATACACCTTTGGTTGTATTCATTCAAGGTATGTCCGCTTGTCTTATGTCATCTCATCATCATCATCATCATCATCATTATCATCGTTAATATTCATTCATCCATATCCTGCAGGTGAAAAAAAAACCGGCAACATCTAGTACTAACGTGAATATTTATTTTTTGTCGATTTATCTAGCTGAAAAATTCGAGAATGTTGAAACTTTTTACACATAGAGAAAGAAGAAGAAGAAGAAGAAGACGGAAAAAAAGACTCAATCACATAATAATGTAATGTTTAAAAATTATCGATGAAATGAATCCGGAATGAAAACCCAACAAACCATTTATGCTACTTGTTGCATACATAATAATAATGATGATGATGATGATCAAAAAAAAAAAAAAAAGATTTTGTTTTCTGTATACTACTGCTGCTTTGTGTTACTTAAAAAAAACACACACATTAACAATCATTACCAGAAACTGAATCTTTGTGAATTTTTTTCATTTCGTTTCTTTCGTTCTTCCATGTGTGTGTTCTCGTGTGTGTGTAAAATGGTATGACGTTGTTGATTGAGTTATTCCTCCTGTTTGTGTGTGTGTCTTTCTGGTTGCCATCATCATCATCATCATCATCATCATGTGGTTTGCAAAACTTTGTTCTGTTCCTTGTTTGTGTTGTTTGTATTATTATATTATTTTTATTTGGGTAACTATCATAGTTTTTTGTAGTTTAATAATATATCCGCATGTATTATTGTATGTTACATATATATATATAGATAGATATACAACGATTGCTTTAAATTATTCATTTCATCCGAATCATATACCCGCGAATATATCTCACAATAAAATGTTGATGATGATGATGGAATAGTAGCATTAGATGAACTGATGATACACATCATGGATTGTCTGTTTGTGTGTATATTATAAGCAACGAAAACAAACGACGACGACAACGACTTTGATTTTGATTTCGCGCATTCTTCATTTATATTCAATTCGATCTGATACGATCGATTCATTTCAATTCAATTTTTTTTATCAAATTCATCATTATTATCAGAATTGATGTGATTATCAAACAACAACAACAAATAGCATTATCATCATTATTATAAAAAAAACGACGACAAAATCAAACAACAACAACAAAATTAACACATGGACATTATTGTATTAATATAAGCAACAGCCCGTTATGTTTTGATCACTTGCAGCAATTATTATCATGTATTTGTGTGTGTGTGTGTGTTTAAAAATTGTATATGAAATATGTCATGTCCGACATTGCCATTAAACTATCATCATCATCATCATCATCATCATCATCATCAACAACAACAACGAATATGAAAAAAAACATCATCTTCATTTAACAGCTAGATGGATGGATGGATGGATGGATGCTTATGTTGTAAACCATTTTATATATATGCTATACATGAATATGTGTGTGTGTTGTGTTTTTTTTTTTTTTTATTCAATCAATGGATGTCGTCAAGCGTTTGTGTAATGTGTTCTTTTATAGATGGATGCTTGTTGAATACAAATTTCAACAAGTAGCAACAACAAAAAAAAACCAACAACAGCAACCACAACATCTGATTATAAATCGAGGATTATTTATCAACAAAATATACACACTGTGTGTGTGTGTGTGTACCTTTGTGAATGTGTGAGTGTGTGGATTTAAGATTTTTTGTTTTCTCTCATTTTCACATTTCTTTTTTTTCACCTCATCATCATCATTATGATTCAATCGATTGAAAATAATAATTCGATGCAATATTTTTTTTCAATAGAAAAAAAATAGAAATATGATAACGACAACAACAAAAAACAACGAAATGACAACAACGTTATGTTATGTTTCGATTCAATAATCGACATCAATATGAAATATTTAATAAATAGACACCAAATAGTGGGTTAGTTTATCATTTTCAATTTATGATGATTTGTTGTTTTTTTTGTTGAAAATCAAAATCATCATTCAGAAAGACGACCATAATTGAATTCATTCATCATTATTTAAATTGGCAGCAACGTGTTTGCTGAGAATGATGATGATGATGATGATGATGATGATTACAACGTTGCAATTATTTGTCTGTGTTTCCAATTTCTAATCACCATCATCATCATCATCATCAATGACCACAGCCAGTGAATTATATAATATATAAATTGATTTTCATCATCATCATCATCATTATTTTGATTTGAAAATCAAACACATCCTCGATTACAATTAACACAATTGAAATCATCATCATCATCATCAGCACCAAAATTTCCTTTTTTGACATTGGATTTTTTTTTCTCACTTCTTGGCTATTGGAAATCAATTTGACAACAAACAAACAAACAAACAAAAAAATGATATTTGCATAATCATACACACATCAGACGAAAAATAATAATCGGAAAAAAAATATTTAATCGAACTTTGTTCGATTAAAAATCATCATCACTAAATGATCATTCATAATCATCATCATCATCATCATCAGTTTATATAAAATTATATATTATTATACACCAAAACAGTTTATCATTCAAGTAACGTGTTGTTATTGCTGTTTTTTTTTCTTCAAATTATTTTTGTCGACAAATTTATACAGCAAAAAAAAGAAGAAGAAGAAAAAAATTCATCATTCAGCATCCAAATAACCACAGCAACAGCAGAAGAAGCAGCAGCTAAGAAAAAAAATTTTCTTTCAATATTGATCATTGATTGATTATTAATATGGATGAATGGTGGTGGTGGTGGTGATGGTGGTGGTGACGATGATAATGATGATGATGATGTGGATGATGATTATCACCATCTCACCATCATCGTCGTTTTTGTTGTTGTTGTTGTCGACAAATTTTTTTTTCTCAAAGAACATTACACACACAAATATCAAATAATATAAATTGGATTGGATAACATACGATATTAAACAGTGGAAAAAAAATCTATATTTTTCACTCAAAATTTTTTTTACTTCATTTTGATTTGATTCGATTTTTTTTTTTTTTTTTTTCATGTCGAATAAGGACAATCAATGTAGAAGAAAAACGTACTAAAAACATCAGCATCATACTCACGCCACATGCACCGAAAATTAAAAAAAAAAAAACTTCAGAAAAAAAAGTTTGGTTTTTTTGTTGTTGTTATCCAATAATTCGACACCATTTATTTCTTGTGTTTTTTTTGTGTTCTTTTTTTTCAATATCATCGTAAGATTTGAATTTATTTTGTTGCTGATGATGATGATGATGATGGTGGTGGTGGTGGTGGTCGTCCAAAATAACGGCAGTGATGACCAAAAAAAAGTAAAATTTAATACCCTATGAATACCAAATAACCGACAACCGACAACAACAACAACAACAACAACACATGGGGTATATTAATAAAAACTGGATCAACATTCAACCAATATACTCACCATTTTTTTTTTTTTTGGTTTTTTGGTTTTGATTTGAAATCAAACCACAAAATGAAAATGTATTGTTTTTTTTCTGTTTCGACTAATTTTTTTTCACTTTTTCGACACTAGAAAAATCCAATTTTTTTTTCATTTTCCATTCATGACTGCCATCATCATCATCATCATCAACATCAACATCCATATCGTTTTATCGAATTGCATATTTATATCATTTTTCGATACATCGATGACAACGATCTAAAAATCAATCAAACAATCAATCAATATATCTAATAATAATTTTAATATAATCGGCAACATTCATGATGATGAATTGAAACATCGGATACAAAAGTGAATTGAATAAGTAGAAAAAAAACGCAAAAGCCAAAATCCAGATTTATAGAAAAAAAAGTGAATGGAAAGAAAAAAAAATGACCGCAAAATGATCATCAAATGATTATTATTATTCAATCAATGATGATGATTATTAATCATTGAAAATTCAATTCAATTCAATTGATCAATCAATCAAATTTTTCTTGTCTTGTATATTATTTTTTCTTCACTTTATTTTCTTCAAAATACATCGATACATCAATACAAACAACAACAACGACGGAAAGCATACAATTTACATCGATGAAGACCAAATGGTTTGTTTGTTTATTTATTTTTTTAAAAAAATTTTGTAATCTGCTCTCTCTCTCTCTCTTTCTACGTGTTTTATAAATATCTTTATATTTGGTTATTACATGATGGTCAATCGATGATGATTCATATATATATTACATACATTTATTTGATGTGTGATGATAAACATTTTATTTTCTTATTGACAATGGCCACTATTATGAATTGCAAATGTCAAATTCAATGACATTTACTGTTGCTATTGCTGTTGTTGACAAATTATCATCATCATCATCATCATCGTTTGTCCAGATCAATTTTAATTTTAGTCAATAAACAATAATATTAATCATAATATAATAATAATTTGTCATTGACATCGACATAAACCAGATCGATTTCAATGTCAATTCTCTCTCTCTCTCTCTATCCTTTATCTATATGTGTGTGTGCTTGTGTACATCGACAAAATTCCATTAGATTCGATCTAGTGGATGATCACACATATTCAGTTACAAACATTATTTTGACGCAAATGTTTGTTGATTAATTTTTCTCATCATTATTTTTTTTTCTATTTCATTTCTTTCCTTGTAATTCAATCGACATTTATACATGCTGATGATGATGATTTTTCTGGCTATAATTTGATTGGACTTGTGACCATTCAAATTCATTATTATTTTTATTACATATATAACGGTATTAAAACTAAAACCGATTATATAATTAAAACAAAGTTGTATACCCGTTGTTGTTCCATATGTGTCATTCATTCAGATATATATTAGAGAATCAGATTGTAATGTATGGATGGATGAATGAATGAATGAATGATTTAAACTAATTTTCTCAATATGCTGTGATTATTGAAACATGAAACATTCATTCACGAAAAACAAAATTACATGTCGAAATGGAATGACATAGAATTTTTTTTTTTTTTTTGATATTTTCGACACCATCGAATTTCTTCAACCGAATGGTGCTAATTTCAGTGTCTATTTCTTTCTTTAATATATTATTGTTGATTTCTTTTTCCAAGGGATCAATTCAATTTAGGATTTGTTTATATTACTATTATTATTAACAGAGAAAAAAAACGTTGACAAAAAAAAAAGAAAAGAAACGGAGAACTTGATTTCTTTATTTATTTGACAAGATAATTGAAAGAAATCTTTGGCCATTTTTCTTTGCCCTCAGATTGATATACAGTGGTGATATATATTTAATTAATTACAGAATTCCAGCTCATGTGATTTCAAATTTGTTTGTTTTTTAACCGAATTTTTTTTTTCTTTTCTCTATCATCATTTTATATAATAATATATAGCTTCAACGGACAATTATTTGCAAACGAATCTTCGTTCTTACAAAGAATTGATCGTAATGTCATTCATGTTGTAAAACCACCACCATTATTAACTCATCATCATCATCATCATCATCAACAAAAACAGCTGAAAACAAATCAAAATGTTTGCCATTGGTTATTGTTTGGCTATTGCATAACAATTTCAATCTTTATGTTCATCATTTCGATATCTAATGCTCAGCCAACATCTTTGTCAACACCATTGAATTGTAGCAATGCCAAACAATCTGAATTAATAGCCAACAATGCTGGTCATTCTGTTGGTTTAACATTAGGTAATCTTCATCATCATCATCATCATTTAAATCATACATCATTGTCTGACAAACAATCGGAAAAACCACCCATTATAATTGGATATTTAACCAATTTTTATGGAAGACATAGTTCAAATAGACAAGGATTAGTCATATCTGGTGCAATATCATATGCCATTGATTATATTAATGAACAAAGATCCGAGCTATTAGGTGGCCGTAAATTGAAATTATTATACAATGATACATCGGCCATATCGATCAATGGTACGGCAGCTATCATTTGGCAATGGCGTTCAGGAGCTGTTGCATTTTTTGGTCCAGAAGATACTTGTGAAGTTGAAGCAACAATTGCGGCTGCATTAAATCTACCAATGATCTCATATAAATGTGCCAATTCAGCTGTTTCGAATAAAGCATTCTTTCCAACATTTGCACGTACACATCCACCAGATGTGATTGTTGTACGTTCAGTGTTGGCATTATTACAATATTTTCAATGGCAAAAATTCGGTATTGTTTGGTATAAACGTTCGGAAAAATTTGCACCCGTAGTATCGACATTACGATCAATGGCAGCTGAAAATGATTTTGAAGTTACTGTTGATTATCCATTTGATGATGAATTTGAATGTTGTATATATCAGAAACAATGTTGTGGAAAAATTTGGTATGATCTGGTGGAAAAAACATATAAACGTACCCGTATCTATGTATTTATTGGTGGTCCATCATTATTACCACGTTTTTTATTAACATTAAAATCAAGAGGATTATTAGAGAATGGTGATTATGTTGTCATTTCCATTGAATTAGATGAAGATTATGTTAATAATAATGATCGATCATATACAATCAATCAACGTAATGATCTTCCGGAACATGAATTGAATGCAATTTATGATGCAACACGATCATTATTGATTATAAGCCGTAGTTATCCAGCATCACCAAATTATAATACATTTGTTGATAAAGTTCGTGAATATAATAAATTACCACCATTCTGTTTACGTGATCATATGGCATTTAAACGTCATATTACATATTATGCATCATATCTATATGATGCTGTAATTCTTTATGCTGAAGCACTATCACAGGTATTCACTATTTTGACATTTTTATTTATTTATTTTTTTTGTTGTTGTTGTTGATTATATAATAAAAATCATAAATTCACACAAATAACCAATAATTATTTTTTTCTGATTTTTTTTTGGAAACAGGTTTTCAAAGAAGGACTTACAGAATATGATGGTAAAAATATAGTGGAAAAAATTATTTCCAGGCGACGATATCAATCAATAACAGGTGCATGGATGAATATTGATCAAAATGGTGATGTACAAGGTAATTATACCGTACTTCAACCGATATCAATTAGTTCGATCAACACATCCGATACAACGACTACGATAGCAACAGAAAAACGTTCAATAGATGGAAATCATCATCGTCGTTTACCATTACGATTACAACCGGTTGGATTATTTGAATATGATTCAACATCAAAAAATGTTGAAAAGATCTCATTTGTTCCAACAAATCCAATTGATTGGGTACGGCCGGGACATGTACCGTTGGATGAGCCACCATGTGGTTTTGATGATACTGCCTGTGATAAAAGTAAAGATGCAAAGATTCGTGAAATAATTACAGCCATATTAATGGCAATATTTGTTGCTACTTTAATCATTATAATTATAACATATCGTGGCTGGAAATATGAACAAGAAATCGATGGTCTATTGTGGAAAATATCACGTGATGATGTGATTGTTGAACAAAAATGTAAACATTTTTCATCATCAACAACAAGCTGTGATAGTATTATATCATTATCCGATGATTATATTGTTCGTGAAAAAGATTCAACAACAAATAATAGTGATGCATTAAGCTCAAAAGATGATTATGAAATAACCTATAGAGGTGTATTGGTCAGTTTTAAAGTGTTGAAATTTAATAAGAAAAATTCTGGCAACCCTTTTGATTATCTAACACGTGAAAATAAAATGGAAATGAAATGGCTTAAAGAAATGCATCATCAAAATATCAATGTATTTATTGGTGCCACAATACATGAATTGTTTCCACATAGTGTACTATTATTATCTGAATATTGTGCAAAAGGATCATTACGTGATGTACTTGAGAATGAAGAAATACGTTTGGATGAAGAATTTCTATCATCACTTGTTCATGATATTATGTGTGGTATGTATTATTATCGATATATAGTATGATGATGATTATGCAATTTAAAATTCCATATATATTTGTTTTTTTTCCTCATTTATTTCATAATCAAAAAAAAATTGTTTTCCATATATTTTACATTTGTGTGAGTACAAATGTGACTCTGTCTAGCCTGTCAGTGAATGAATGAATGAATGTTTTTTGTTCATCATGTGTGTGCGGAATTCATGATTATTATGGGAAATAGGATGATGGACAAAAAAAAATTTTTGTCAATTATGAAGAATTTATCAATAATGTTTCTATATTAAGACATTATCATCATTGCCTTTGAGTATATATTTAGATAAGCATTTTTTCTTTTCTTTCAGCGAAAAAAAAAATTCGATTATTAATCACGCCGTTTGTTTATTTTTTTTTATAATTTTATTATCGATAATAATAGTAATATAATGCAAATGGTTGTTTACTTCAGATAATATAATCAATAGAAGAAGAAATGAAATGAAATGATGAACACATGGTTCTTGGAATTTTGTGTGTTTTTTTTTTCAATTTCTTCATTTCAAATGAAATGAAAAAAAATGTGGTTGACATTTGAATTGATTGTGTTTAGTCTATTTTGTTTGATGTATAATAGATGTATAATGGTTAATTGCGTAGTTGAATCTTTTTTTTTGTTTTGTTTATCAAATTAAATTTGTAATATTCATTCATTGAATAATAATAATTTTTCTTTCAATTTTAAATAGGTCTATCTTATCTACATCATAGTGATTTAAAATGTCATGGAAATTTAAAATCAACAAATTGTCTGGTTACATGTAGATTTGTTGTGAAATTGAATGATTTTGGTCTATTTTCATTCCGTAAAGAAGAACCTGATGCACAGATTGCATTGTATAATAAATTATGGCGACCACCGGAAACTTTAAGAAATCCAGATGTTATTGGTCCAGAAGGAGATTTATATTCATTCGCTGTTATTGTGCACGAGATTGCCATTCGAAAGGGACCGTTTGCTATAAAACTTATCAATGATGAAATATTATTTGAAGAATTGCAGAAAATTGTTGATGAAGTAAAAGCTGGTCCAACATCTGATGGCCGTATAAGACGTCCAGATACGACAATCACTGATTTACATGATGATACAATTGAATTAATGAATCTCTGTTGGAGTGAAGATCCAAAAACACGGCCAACTATTGATGCATTACGAATTATGGTGAAAAATGCTCAAAAATTTCGACCACCACCCGAAAATCTTGTTGAAAATATGGTCAAAATGATGGAAGTATATCAGAATCAACTGGAAGATCTTGTCCATAAACGAACACAACAATTGGATGAAGAGAAACGAAAAACGGAAACATTATTATATCAAATGTTACCGGAAAGTGTTGCAAGACAATTAATAACTGGAGAAACTGTTATACCGGAAACATACGAAACTGTAACAATATTTTTCTCCGATATTGTTGGTTTCACTAAACTATCGGCTACAAGCACTCCAATGGAAATTGTCACATTTCTTAATGATCTTTATTGTCTATTCGATTCGATTGTTTCTCATTATAATGTCTACAAAGTTGAGACTATTGGTGATGCATATATGGTCGTTTCAGGATTACCAATTCGTTATGAACATCATTATACGGAAATTGCATCAATGGCATTGGAAATATTGGAAGCAATCAAAACATTTCAAATTCGTCATCGTCAAAATCAATATTTACAGCTTCGTATTGGTATACATACAGGTATGTAATGTACCTTTTTTTTGATTAAATTTAGCAATAATTAATCTTGGCCAAACTAAATCCAATTATTAATTGAAAAAAATAAAATTGTTTTCAATATAGGTCCAGTTGTGGCTGGTGTAGTCGGTACTAAGATGCCTCGCTATTGTCTATTTGGTGATACGGTCAATACAGCATCACGAATGGAAAGCAATGGTTTGTTTATATCAAATTCAATTGGAATTATATCTCCCAATTGATTGATTATCATTTGAAATTGAATCGTTTTTATTTTCATTTCATTTATCATAGGCGAAGCTCTTAAGATTCATATGAGTCCAGAATGTCGTAATCTTCTTGAACCAACTAAACAATTCATTATTCGTGAACGTGGATTTGTTACATTGAAAGGCAAAGGAGAAGTGAAAACATATTGGCTTTGTGGACATGTGGATGGACCACAACTTCGTTTTGATCGTAGTAAATTCACCTATGTTGATTCACCATGGATACAGAAAGATCACAAATCACCGATTACGACAATTTTCCAGGATATTAGTTCAACAAGAAAAGGTTCACTTGTCAATCATAATGAACCGAATTTGGCTAAATTTTATAAAAAAGCTATTGGTGGTGGTGGATTGAATACGTCGTTTTCACGTCTAAAAAGTGCACACAGTAGTTCTTGTAATACATTTCGACCAAAAGTGGAAAATCATCTTAGTCCAAAAAGTATAAAAAAGAATTGGCCATTCCGTATATTTAATCATAAATCACGTTCAAGTTCAACTAATCAACCGGAAATTGAACAACAACAACAAATGAACAATATTCCAATGGTAGATACATCAAAACCGAAAAGCCCAAAATTTATAATCAAATCAACTAGTTATAATATAATTGAAGCTGTAAACACCAAGATTATTCATGATCATCATCATCATTATTCTCCTCATAATCAACCACATGTTAATCCTATTTATTCAGATAATCATCATCATCATCATCATAATGATGATGATCCAATCGAACAAAATGATAATACAACAAGTGATCAAGAAGATTATCATTTACATAATGAACATTGTGAAAATGATGATGATGAAATTGAAAATGAACCTTTATTACGAAAATATCGTAAATTAAATAACAATAAAAATACGGGAAGAAAAAGTAGTCTACAAGAAGAAGATGATGAAAATGATGATTGTGATAATTCATCCGATAATGGTTTGAATATGATGATGATGATGATGACAAATTCTGAACAAAAAAGGCCAAATGGAATAGTCATTTCAATTGATAATGTAGATAATAATGATGATGAAGTATTGAATCAAGTTGTTAATTCACCATATAGACAACAACAACAAAACAAGCAACAGCAGCAGCAACAACAACAACAAGAACAAATATTAAATGCTTATCATCGTAATCAAAATCATCAAATCGATATTACATATTGAATATGACAATAACGAAAATCCAATAGATTCAGATATACCGATTTCTAGTCAAATTGCAATGTCATTTTTTTATCTCTATCCCCCTGGTTCCTTCTCCACTAAAAAAATATCACCACATATATTAAGGTGACCAAAATTGTCTTTCATCAATAATAATCATCATCATCATTGACACAGAGAAAGAAAACTATTCAAAAAGGTAAATAAAGTTTGTTTATTATTCATAAATTCACATAACATTTACATAGTGGAGAGATGGTGTTTTTTTTCTAACATATACACAATATACAATTTATTTTATATATTAATCTCTTTCTTTTTTATGTTTTTTCCAGAATCGTTTCACTTCTTCATGACCTGTAGGTGTGACCACCAATAATCGACGTGATGAATTCTCGAATAATATGACGCCCAGATTCTATTTTTTTTTTGCAAAAAAAAAAAAGAAAATTGAAAGTGAAAAATTCTTTGTTTTTTGAAATTGATATCATTTTGTAAATATTTTTTTTGTGTGTGTGTGTGTAAATATAAACAAAAAAATCTAAATTATGAAAACAAATAATGTGTAAATTTTGATAACTTACAAATGCATATTTTCTTAATGCTTCATAATCGGTTTGTGAATTGAATTGTGAATATAGGACACCATCACAGTATGTTAGACGATTACGTTCTTGTTCCCAAAGAAATATCTGATCAATAATTGTACCCGGTATAACAGTGGATCGTTTTTCCGAATACATATGTGGATGTGCATGCATCGAAAGATAATGTGTAATCTGTTTAGCTGTAATACCATTCTTGAAAGCAGTACGAACAGAATCACGTGTTATGAGGCCAACCATGAATTTTGGAAAACGATAATTCAATTCAATAAATAATGTCAGCAGGGCAATTTGTAATGGTGATTCTGGAAGAAAAACGTATGAAAATGGTTAATCTTTTTTATTCACAAAAATCAATCAGTATTGCTGTTCACCTGTGTATGCATAAACACGATAATTGGTTTCAACAACAATGAAACCTTGTCGTTTATTATACTGTTGTGTTAAAGCCATATTTGATAAATGAAAATTTCGACGAACACTTTCAAACAATCGAATCATTAATCGTGTTGGATAAAATCGACCATCTTTACGCTAGATTAAAAAGAAAAGATTTTTTTTTCTTTGAAAAAGATTGAAATGATGAGTAAAACAAACTTTTCGTTGATAAACAAGTCCCATTTCTCTTAAATGTTGTAGAAATGATTGAATGGATTCACTAAGACCATCGGTGGAATAACTCTACAATTGAAATTGTCGACTTAATCAATATATAACAAAAAAATATGAATAACAATACTCACCTTTCCGTGTGTCAAAAAATTTAATTCGAATAAAAAACTAAGACATTCAATATAATTGAAACCAAAACTTTCAACAAGTTCAAGATATTTTCTGATGAAATACCATATTTGTAATGAAATATCAATGAGAAGAAATTGAAAACCTGATGCAGTGATGACAATCTCGCCATTATCATCAGTTTCAATTAGACCGGCATTAAAGATGACTTTTTTCGTAATCTCACCAATATTATCATTATAATCTTTTAATTTAACACCAGCCATAAAATTGAGAATGGAATCCCATCGTTTGTTGATGGAATAATTATCCAACGTTTCAATATCAGGACGATGTTTATCCACTCCAAGAGAATTGAATATTGAACGTTGTTTGCCACTAAAAATAATCAAATTGTGAATACAGTAATGTTGAAAAGAAATTAAAAGAAACTAACCCTCCAAGCCATGATGTTTGAAGACTTTTCTGAAAAGTTGTATTTAACAATCGACCTGGTAATCCAGATTGCATTGGTGTTGATTTCCATATCTGAAGTCTTGTGAGCACATCAGCAGCTTCATTGTAATCACTTGTTTGATGATATCGAAAAACAAAGTTATTTTAGCCATTTTGAGATTGCTAAAATGGACGCATACCTTATAGATTTAACCCAAGATGAAACGACAGCTTGTGGAATTGGTTGTTCAATGAACATTAAACGAAGAACAAAATTTTGAGCTAATGAAGGCAATTCACGAAAAACGGCTAAACATGCTGTCGGACATTCGTAAAGTTGATTCAATAGAATTGGATTGAATTTTTCCAGATAACTCAATAGATCAATGTTCATTTCATCGAATTCTTGCGATGAATTTTGCTCACCACTTGTTGACGGTTTATTGATTGAACTAACATTTGTCATTTTTAATTCTTTTTTATTTATCGATTATACTCGTTATTTTTTATTTATTATTATTGTCAACAAATGATAATCATAAAACTTGATGATGTTTCAGAAACACATTTTTTAAAAAAAATTCTCCGAAAAAAAATATGACAACTTGAGTCGTTCATAGACAATGTTTTTTCCGAAGTGTTTGAAAATTATTATTTCATTCAATTCAATTCATCAAATTATAAATATTTTTTTTTGAAAAAAAATCAATTAATAATAAATTATTGGCATTCCTGTTGTTTCAATTCATCATGATCTGAGGTAAGTAGTGTATCATTATCGTCTTTATTTTCAACATCATCATTATGCTGTTGTTGTTGGCATTTTGGCCTATTTTCAGCTTTTATCAATGAACCAAATTCTTTCGAAATTCTATACAATTCAATTAGACCTTTATATTCCACTCGAAGCATTTCTAATTGTTCAGTTTGTTTCAATAATATTTCTTCATTATATGGTGCAATTTTTTGATTAAATATTTCAATCAATTGTTGTAGATTAGTGGTAGCCGTAATTATGTTTGACTTTGTTCGATCTTTTTGTCGATTTTCATGTTTTTTCAATATATTTTGATGACAACGATTTGATGTTTGCAATAACGTCAATATTAATCGACGATATTTACTCATAATAAGCTCCAATACAAATTCATATTCTTGTAACTGTTGTTTAAGTATACGATTTTGTTGTCGTAATTTAGACACCTGTGGACTTTCCCGTTGAATTGCTTGAATGACTAGTGATGATTGATCGATTAATGGACAATCATCCATGAAAATGTTTTGTCTTTGTTGGAGCTGTTGTTGCTGCTGCTGTTGTTGTTGTTGTTGTTGTTGTTGTTGTTGTGGTGATACAGCTAACCAATGCATTGATGCTTCAATTTCATTTCGAATATCGATTATCTCTTGAAATAGACTATCTGAATCCGTTTTACTTTTATCCAATGATTTTGCCACGGATTTAAGTTTATAGATTAATGACAGCATAGACATTGCGTGTTTATTATGGTATCTAAGTGTGTAAAAAAGAATAAAATAAAGAAATTAATGATCAATAAATATAAATCAATTGTATCAAACACATTGTCCTTGTGACAATTATTTAAGTGGATTTTTAAAGTGCATTTAATTAATTGAATATCCGTGGCATTAATTACCACTGATGATATAAAAAGACAAAATATCTTATATTCACGCATATCAATCATCATGAATTCAATCATAATTTTATCGACAATTTTTATGTTCAGTTTCATTGAAACTGTATCATTGAATCAAAATCCAGATGAAGTGCTGAATTTACCCGGTTTGAAAACGAAAATAAATTTTCGTCATTTTTCTGGCTATCTAGAAGCTGAAGATGGTGCTTTTCTTCATTATTGGCTATTCGAAAGTCAACGAGATCCAACATCGGATCCTGTCGTATTCTGGTTTAATGGTGGTCCAGGAAGTAGTTCATTATTGGGCGCTCTCACCGAATGTGGACCATTCCGTATTGATTCCAATGAAAAAGTAATTATGAATAATTTCTCATGGAATGCTCAGGCAAATATGGTGTTTATTGAATCGCCAGCTGGTGTCGGCTTTTCATATAAACTTGATCGAAATTATACAACCAATGATGATATTACAGCACAAAATAATTATGTAGCATTGAAAAGTTTCTTCAAAAAATTTCCACATTTCGAAAATAATTCATTGTATATATCGGGAGAAAGCTATGGAGGTGTTTATGTTCCAACTCTTTCGGTGAAAATATTGGAAAATCATTATCCAAAAAATTTCAAAGGTTTCTTGATCGGTAATGGCGCTATGAATTATGAAATGCTCGATAATTCTCAAATACATTATTTCTATCATCATGCTTTGATCAATGATGATACGTGGCAATATCTACTTGATACTTGCTGTCCGAACGTAACGAATGCTCGACATTGTAATTTTGCCAAGAATCAAAATCCAAAATGTAATGATGAAATTGAAAAAATATCTAAATTCATTTATGATAATTTTGACCCATACAATATTTATCATTGGATGTGTTTTGATCCCATCAATGATCATGCACCATTTTCGTTTGCAAAATCGGTTGGTGAAGTTGGTTGGATAACAACGCTTCAACACAAAAATCGTAAAAATATTAAATGCAATAAGGATGATGTAAAATTCGCTGCACCAACGGTCGATTATGATGCTTTAAAGCGTTATCTTAATCGACAAAAAATACGTGAAGCTTTACATATAAGTTCACATGCTAATTCACATTGGAATCTCCATAGTGAAGAACTAATATACACACGAATATATCAAGACATGACCAATCACGTTAAAAAATTGATCGACGGTGGTCTCAAAGGACTACTCTATAATGGTGATTTTGATACCGTATGTAATTATCTGGGCAATAGATGGTATGAAATAATTAATTCCAAGTCGATAGAATTGAATTTTAAAGCCACATTTTTTTGCTATTTCAGGTTTGTCGAAAATCTAGGATACGAAACCAATACTGGATATTTACCTTGGAAATATGATAATCAAATTGGTGGTTTCCGTATTCGTTATGGTAAACTAATTTATCAAACAATCATGGGAGCTGGTCACATGGCACCAATGGATCAACCAGGACCACTTCAAGCAATGTTTAATGAATTTTTAAAGATGTAATTGAATTGATATTTTGCTTGTTGTCATCTCAATAAATTATTTTGTTTTGGATTTTGGTAAACAAAAATAATCATTGATTTATCGATTGTTTACTATCGATAGTGAGAAAAGCATAAATTTTACGTAGGTTACTTTTCTATGGTTAAATTTAGCAATAATTGATCTTGGCCAAACTAAATCCAATTATTAATAGAAAAAAATAAAATAAAGTGCAAATCTGAAAAGTGCACACAGTAGTTCTTGTAATACATTTCGACCAAAAGTGGAAAATCATCTTAGTCCAAAAAATTACAAAAAAGAATTGGCCATTCCCTTATATTTAACTATAAATCACGTTCAAGTTCAACTAATGGCCTATTTTTGGCTTTTATCAATGAACCAAATTCTTTCGAAATTTTAAACAATTCAATTGGACTTTTATATTCCACTCTAAGCATTTCTAATTGTTCAGTTTGTTTCAATAATATTTCTTCATTATATGGTGCAATTTTTTTGATTAAATATTTCAATCAATTGTTGTAGATTAGTGGTAGCCGTAATTATGTTTGACTTTGTTCGATCTTTTTGTCGATTTTCATGTTTTTTCAATATATTTTGATGACAACGATTTGATGTTTGCAATAAAGCCAATATTAATCGACGATATTTACTCATAATAAGCTCCAATACAAATTCATATTCTTGTAGTGACGATTGATCGATTAATGGACAATCATCCATGAAAATATTTTGTCTTTGTTGGAGCTGTTGTTGCTGCTATTGTTGTTGTTGTTGTTGTTGTTGTTGTGGTGATACAGCTAACAAATGCATTAATGCTTCAATTTCATTTCGAATATCGATGATCTCTTGAAATAGAATATCTGAATCCGCTTTACTTTTATCCAATAATTTAAGTTTATAGATTAATGACAGCATGGACATCGCGTGTTTATTATGATATCTAAACATGTAAAAAAGAATAAAATAAAGAAAGTAATGATAAATAAATCAATTGTATCAATCATATGGTTCTTGTGACAATTGTTTAAGTGGATTTTTAAAGTGCATTTAATTAATTGAATATCCGTGGCATTAATTACCACTGATAATATAAAAAGACAAAATATCTTATATTCACGCATATCAATCATCATGAATTCAATCATAATTTTATCAACAATTTTGATGCTCGGTTTCATTGAAACTGTATCATTGAATCAGAATCCTGATGAAGTGTTGCATTTGCCCGGTTTGAAAACGAAAATAAATTTTCGTCATTTTTCTGGCTATCTGGAAGCTGAAGATGGTGCCTTTCTTCATTATTGGCTATTCGAAAGTCAACGAGATCCAACATCGGATCCTGTCGTATTTTGGTTTAATGGTGGTCCAGGAAGTAGTTCATTGTTTGGCGCTCTCATGGAATGTGGACCATTCCGTATTGAATCCGGTGAAACATTAATTATGAATAATTTCTCATGGAATGCTCAGGCAAATATGGTGTTTATTGAATCACCGGCTGGTGTCGGCTTTTCATATAAACTTGATCGAAATTATACAACCAATGATGATATTACAGCACAAAATAATTATGTAGCATTGAAAAGTTTCTTCAAAAAATTTCCACATTTCGAAAAGAATCCATTGTATATATCGGGAGAAAGCTATGGAGGTGTTTATGTTCCAACTCTTTCGGTAAAAATATTGGAAAATCATTATCCGAAAAATTTCAAAGGTTTCGTGATCGGCAATGGTGCTATGAATTTTGAAATGCTCGATAATTCTCTAATACATTATTTCTATCATCATGCTTTGATTAATGATGATACGTGGCAATATCTACTCGACACTTGCTGTCCGAACGTAAAGAATGCTCGATATTGTAATTTTGCCACGAATCAAAATCCAAAATGTAATGGTGAAATCGAAAAAATATCCAAATTTTTTCATAATAATTTTGATAGATACAATATTTATCATTGGATGTGTTTTGATCCCATCAATGATCATGCACCATTTTCGTTTGCAAAATCGGTTGGTGAAGTTGGTTGGATAACAACGCTTCAACACAAAAATCGTAAAAATATAAAATGCAATAACGATGTAAAATTCGCTGCACCAACGGTCAATGATGATGCTTTAAAAAGCTATCTTAATCAACAAAAAATACGTGAAGCTTTACATATAAGTTCACATGCTAACTCACATTGGAATCTCTTTAGTAAAGAACTTATATACAAACCAATATATCAAGACATGACCAATCATGTTAAAAAATTGATCGACGGTGGTCTAAAAGGACTACTCTATAATGGTGATTTTGATACCGCATGTAATTACCTGGGCAATAGATGGTATGAAATAATTAATTCCAAGTCGATAGAATTTTAAAGCCACATTTTTTCGCTATTATAGGTTTGTCGAAAATCTTGGATACGAAACCAATACTGGATATTTACCTTGGAAATATGATAATCAAATTGGTGGTTTCCGTATTCGTTATGGTAAACTAATTTATCAAACAATCATGGGAGCCGGTCATATGGCACCGATGGATCAGCCAGGACCACTTCAAGCAATGTTTAATGAATTTTTAGAGATGTAATTGAATTGGTATTTTGCTTGTTGTCATCATCAATCATCATCAATAAATTATTTTGGTAAACAAAAATAATCATTGATTTTATCGATTGTTCACTATCGATAGTGAGAACCACACACGTGTATAAATCATTTTGGTGGCATGAATTCTGTTTACATTTTTTTTCCTCAAAAAAGTTAAAATTTTAAATTTTTAAAATGAAGTCATCTGGTGGGAGTTTCCCATCAATGAAATTGAGTAAACCGGTCCTTAAAGGTATCTATAAAAAAGGATATAAAAATCCTACACCGATTCAACGAAAAACAATACCGATTGTGTTGAATGGTCAAGATGTGGTGGCAATGGCCCGAACAGGTAGCGGTAAAACTGCCGCTTTTCTCATACCGATCATCGAAAAACTTCAAAGCCATAAAATAGAAAAAGGTGCTCGTGTTTTAATATTATCGCCTACTCGGGAGCTTGCATTGCAAACGTATAAATTTGCACGTGAATTTGCTCGTTTTACCGATTTAAAATGTGAAACAATATTGGGTGGTGATTCAATGGAACGACAATTTTCTAAGATACATGAAAATCCGGATATTATTATTGCTACACCTGGACGATTACTTCATGTAGCCATCGAGATGGATCTAAAATTTTCTTCCGTCCAAATGATCGTATTCGATGAAGCTGATCGTTTATTCGAAATGGGTTTTAAAGAACAATTAACCGAAATTCTTTCACGACTTTCATCCAAGCGGCAAACATTACTGTTTTCCGCTACGTTACCACAAACAATTGTTGATTTTACTCGTGCCGGTTTAATTGATCCAGTATTAGTACGATTAGATACTGAAACGAAAATTAGTGAAAATTTACGACTGATACATTTGGGTTGTCGTAATGAAGATAAATTGGCTACATTGTTACATTTATTGAAAAATGTGATCAAATCAAATGAACAGATTATCGTATTTTTACCAACACGTCATCATATTGAATATATTAAAGAAATTTTAGATCAATGTTTCATTCCATCAACATATCTATACAGTAGCCTAGATTCTGAAGCACGTAAAATTAATATTCGTACATTTCATTTGAAAAAAGTTCCCGTTCTTCTTGTCACTGATTTAGCGGCACGTGGTGTCGACATACCATTATTGGATAATGTAATTAATTTTAATTTTCCATCAAGATCCAAATTATTTGTTCATCGTGTTGGTCGTACGGCAAGAGCTGGTCGATCCGGTACAGCATATTCATTAATCAGTAATGATGAACTACCATATCTTTTTACTTTGAGTCTTTTTTTGAATCAACCATTCAAAGCAGCAAATCCATCCATTCTTAACAATGAAGATGATGATGATGACGATGGATGCAAATATGGAACAGTACCACAAACAATTATTGATGAAGAGAATGAAATCATACAGAAATTACATGGACAATTTTCGGAATTAGATTCAATGGAAAAAGTATGTCAAAGTGCATATAAACAATATTTAAAAACAAGAGAAATTGCCGATGGAGAATCAGTGAGAAAAATGAAATCATTTTTAGAAAACGAAAAAATTGGCTATCATCCGATTTTCATTGATCGAACAATCAAACAAAATGATCAACGTAAAATGGAAAATGAACGTGTTGAAATGTTATCGTCGATTAAATCGTATAAGCCAAATATGACTGTGTTTGAAATTGGAAAAAATAACAAAGCAAATACGGCTCGTGAAGTGATGAAAATGAAACGTCAAGTTACGGAGAAAATATTGGGTAAAAAATCCAATCATTCATCCGAACAAACGGAAACAAATTTCAAGGATAAAGAATTCTATCTGAATTATCAATCAAATGATTTTCATTTCGAAAAAGGATTACAATTGACAAAATCATTCGATACTCAATTGAAAGAATCGATTCTAGATTTCGATGGTGATGAGAATGGACAAATAACAAAAAATCAGAATCATCTAAAATGGTAAATGAATTGGATTTTTTTTAAAATTTTAAATTAATAATTTTTCGTCAATTATTTTGCTACTAATAATTAGGGATCGAAAAAAGAAAAAATTCATACAACCAGGAGATGATGGACCAAAAATGAAAAAAATGCGAACTGAAAGTGGAAATTGGATAAATGCATCATATAAATCTGGAATGTATGAAAAATGGCAGAAAAAAGCTAAAATTAATCCCAATGTAACCACCGATAATGATGATGATGATGATGATGATGGTGATGGCGAAGATAAACAAAAACGAAATCGGTCAATTAAAATGTCATCACGAAAAAAGCCAAAACAACAATCCAATGGTGACAAACGAGGACCGAAACGTGAATTAAAAACTAAAGATGAAATATTTAAACAACGTAAACGATTAGAACGTATACAGACACATCAGAAAAAACGACAAAGACAACGAGTCGTTGGTCATAACAAAGGAAAGCAATGAAAAGAAAAGGGAAAAGATGAAAATTTCAATTTTTTTCGAAAAAAAGACAAAAATAAAAAAATTCAAATTTTTTTACGTCACGTTATTTATGAATTTCACTGCTCACAATGTTTTTTTTGATGATTTTTGATTGTCGATTTTTTTTAAAATTGGTATTTTTTTATTATTCAAAAATTTTAAATTTTTCCAATATTAATCATGTTCATCATTAGATAACGATAAAAGTGATCAACAATGTTGGACAAAATTTCCAATATACAGCCATGTTTTCATGAAAGTGAAGATGAATTAGCTCATTTTGTTAGCTGTCATCATTCAGATGTTCTTGGTTATGACAGAGATGGCAATAGTAGTCATATTGATGATATTGTTCAAAAACTAGAACAAAAAGAAGAATTATTAACCAGTTATGAAATTGGTACACGACGAGAAAATTCAGAAGATTTGGCCAAATTTGAAGAGTTATTCAATGCACAACCATCTGAATCGGTAAATTATTTTGAAAATTATATCGATATCGATCATATCGATGTGTATTCGATTCAATTGCAATTGAAAACAATTTTGAAAGATAAATATGAAAATTATGAAAAAATTCTTCGTTCTTGGTTCTCTTCGGAAATTGATTATCAACAATTTGATCGATCGATAAATTTACTTTTGCCAAAGATTTCGATGAAAAAAATTCATAACGATTATATGATGGCCATATTTCAACGTGCCAATAACTGTGACAATAATGTTATTGATGAATTTTCTCATTTTTTTGACGATCTTATCGATGGTAGTGATTTGGAGAAAATTTATTCCAGTGATAAAAATACATTCAGTGATATTATCATTTCAAATAATGGTGATGATGTGGATACATCCATTCAACAGGAACGAGAGACAAAACCATATGAATCGAATGAAACAATAATGGAACAACAAAAATTACAATCATCTTCTATCAACAATGATGAAGATGATGATCTTTTGATGGTTGTCAAGAAACGAAAACGGAAAAGATATGTGAAAATATTTGATGATGATGATAACATTAATAATGAACGTTCGGAAACGGAAAATCATAATAATAATAATGATAATGATTTAGATAATCATCTTAGTGATGATGATCTTAACGCTATTACGAAGAAAAAGAAAAAACGTAAAGCTCTATTAATCGAATCAAGCGATGAAGAAGAGAAAGATGATAATGATGGTAACGATGGAACCATGATATTCTATGATACAGAATCATCATCAAATTCAAATGTTAATCTATCACCATCATCTATGAATGATTTACAACAAACATTCGATGCTAAATCAAGTGGTCCATTAAAGACTACAATCACTATTATGAATAATAATTCATTTCAACGACAAAATAATGGTAGTAATCAGCAAAAAAATTTTTCATTACTAAGTAAAATATTGAATTCAGAAACATCGATTCCTCATTTGGAACATAGTAACTCATCATCATCGATTAGTTATCGGAATTTAAATTCCACAATTGAACCAGTTACATATTGTTTTAATGAACCATCAAAAAATCAATCATCATCATCATCGTCATTTCCATCGTCTTTTATAATGGGAAATTCAAAAATTGCTGAACTTCTTAATTATAAAATGCCTGAAAATAATAATGATGATGATTATCAAAATGAAGAAAATAATTTCCAACAATATTCATCATCACAATTATCGACTAGTCCACCGCCAAATATATCGACTACATTAGATTCATTATCAAATTCGGATGATGCAAGTCAAAAAAGTGATAATAATTATTATTATTATGAATGGAATGATCCATCAACATTATCATGTAAATCACATCATCAACAATCCAAAGTGGAATCATTGAATCATCATAATCAAATTGCTAATAAAACAATGCATTCATTTGAAATATTTGATCCAATGATGGATCAAACATTGGATGATCAACAACAGAATCATCATTTAATTAAGAATTATGATTCAAATAATGATGTTGATGATGATGATGATGTTAAAAATAGACAATCGATGAACAACAATGGTGATCAAAATACTTATGATCAATTATTGAAAGGAATGTCATGTGAAGAAAAAATGAATAAATTGAAAACATGTTATCAAGAAATTGCTCTTCCCGATAATGTTCGATTAGGTCTTCGAATTTCACAATTGGCAACATTGCGAGGCTTTAAAGCTGTCGATAGAAAAGTAACACAGCTTTGTAATGTTGCATTGAAAGTAAGTGATAAAATAATCAAAAATAACTAATTTGACAAGAATTTTTTCTCCTTAGAATTTTATCCGTAACATTCTAACACAATTGATTAGTTCCCGTAATTCATTTTCAATACAAAATAATCGAATTATTCATAATGTTGGTGGTGAACCAATCAATCCATATATAAGAAATTCCTATAAAATTGCTCAAAAAGAACCATTCGTTAATTCAGTGATTGATCGATGTCATCATGATAACAATAATTATCGTTCTGTTAATGGAGAACGAGATGCTCAAGCTTGCTGTTTTAATTATATGAATCGTTCTATTTCAATGGTATTGAATTCAAAATTAAAATTAAAACGTTTTGGCCTGAATCGTAATGAATTGTCATTCAATCATAAAGATCAGATCAAATTATTATCATCATCAAATCACGATCATCAATCAAATGATGATGATGGTGAAAAACCAATACTTCGATCTACTTCAGGAACATTTTATTTACCCGATTTAATCAATAATCAACGTGATAACAATAATAGTTGTAATCTACATCATTTATATGATTTGCTCAATTCAAATCGATCATTGATTCCGGTTACACCAGTATGGTCACGTACATTATATCGAACGGTTGCTGCATTTAATAATCTTATTGATTCAACAATTGATGAACGATGATAATGAAAAAAAATGGACATCTCTTTTTTTGGTCAATTCCTTTTTCATCATCATCATCATATGATTCATGTGAATTAATATATAGTGATTATAATTTGAATTTTATCTATGCCCTTGTTGTAGTTCAATGTTGAATATTTTTTCTTTTCTTTGATAATGAAATATTCAGCATTTTGTTCAGACAACATCAACAACAACAACAACAACAACAACAATGATGTTCATTTATGTATATCGAACAAACAAACAAACTGAATGTATTATTGAGATTTGATTTGATAGAAACAAAAAAAAAATAAAGAAATTTCCATCAATTATCAATTAGTTTTTTTTCTGTCTTTATTCATTCATTCATTCATTCATTTTTTCCATACAAACTATCAAATGCATTTCTGGCTCTGTTTTTTTGTCTGATAACAATGAATAAGCAGCCAGAGAGAGAGAGAAGAGAAAATAAATCGACAATTAATGGTGGATTTTTTTTCAACCATGTCATATGATGATGATGATGATGATGAATAATGATTTCAGACAGCTTTAGAAACTAACAAAAAATCATCTCTGATTCAATGTGGTGTGTGAAGTTTAAATGTCAATTTGTTTATATATGATATGTGAATGGTCAAATATATCATCATCCATATAATAACAATAATTATAAACAATTATTATTATTGATTGAATATTGATTGATTAGAAATTTATATCGATTGATTATAAACATCATTTGTCTTTGTCTCCATAGCAGCAGCAGCAGCAGCATCTATTATAATCATAATCATCATCATTAAGAAAATAATCAATTAATCAGACAGAAAAAAAAGAAGAAAGAAAAATGGCAACAATATCGAATGAAAATGAATCTCTTCTGTAAGTAGAATGAAATTTAAATTCATTGTTTTTTTTTTAAAAATCAATTTTTTGAATTCTAATCCATTAAAAAAATAGATTAAATGAATCAATGAATAATAAATCATATAAATCTATTGATAGTAAATTGAATGAAAAAAATGATTCAATCGTTTATTGTATACATGGTTTGGATTCTGAATTATGTTGTGAAGTGACCTGTATCAAGAATAATTCTAGACAAAAATTCGAACTACCACATTGTCATTTTTATAATGAAGAAAGAAATCGTATCGATGAACAGGCAAGATTTCGTTTAATTATTGCATCAATACTATGTTTAGTATTTATGGTGATTGAAATTGGTGGCGGTCTTTGGGCCAATAGTTTAGCCATTGCATCGGATGCAGCACATTTATTAACGGATTTTGCTAGTTTTATGATATCATTATTCTCAATATGGATGGCAAGTAAACCGGCATCAAAACATATGAGTTTTGGTTGGCATCGTGCCGAAGTTATCGGTGCATTAACATCGATATTAATGATTTGGGTGGTTACAGGCATATTATGTTATATTGCTACCGAACGAATTATTGAAAATGATTTTGAAATACAAAGCGAAGTAATGGTCATTACGGCTGCTATCGGTGTTGTCGTTAATATCATGTTAGTTTGTTTTTTTTTGCTTTATTAATTTTGCAATTAAGTCCACTCTTTTTTCTTTGTTGCTGATAGAATGGGCTGCTCATTAACCTGTGGTGGATTACCACATGGTCATTCACATGGTGGTATGGAAAGTGGTCATGGTCATGGCCATAATGGTGGTGGTCATAGCAGCTATTCAACATCTGATCATCAAGGAAGAGGAAATATCAATGTACGAGCGGCATTCATTCATGTATTGGGTGATTTTTTCCAAAGTTTAGGTGTATTGATCGCATCATTAGTGATTTATTTTTTTCCCAATTATCGTATCATTGATCCGATTTGTACATTTTTCTTTTCTATAATTGTATTGATTACAACATTGACCATAATGAGAGACGTGTTGAACGTATTGATGGAAGGCATACCAAAAGGTATCGATATTAAAGAAGTACAACGTACATTATTGAATATTGATGGTGTACGTAAAGTACATAATCTACGAATATGGTCATTAAGTTTGGATAAAGCAGCATTATCAACACATTTAGCCATCGGTATGTTTGTTAATGATAATTTCTTGAAATTAATTAAAAGTTAACTCCATTAATTCATTCAATTCTAGAAAAAGGAAAAGAATCGACAAAAATTTTGAATGCAACAATTCGTGAGATTAAATCCCGTTATGATATTTATGAATTAACCGTGCAGATTGAAGAATATCGTGATGAAATGAAAGATTGTCAACAATGTCAAACAATAATTAGTTAATTAATGTTCGATTCATTTATTCATTGGAAATTTGGATTTTGGATCCATTGTTGTTGTTTTTTCTCTATTTACTTGTTTAGTTTACAATATTCACTAATTAACAAATTCACAAATTGAGCATATAATCTTTATATTCAAAAATTTTTTTTAATTGACAATTTTTATCTCCTCAAATTATAACCTAAAAAAAAAAAAAATTATTTTTGAATTAAAAATGCATTTTTATATTAAAAAATATAACCACCAGATGACGTGATTATTGGCCAGATAATAAAATTCTTTTTAATTCCTACGTTATTATTATATACAATGTGTAGTAGTAGCATTCTATATAGTTAATTTATACATTTTGCATATCATCATCATCATCATCATCATTGTCGTCTGTATTCTCGTTCATGGTGTATTTTTTTGCGTGTATAATAGGTGCGTCTTTGAAAGCTAAACAGAAACAAAAAATTAAAATGATGCTCTGCGTCGTCGTCGTCGTCGTCGATTTATGGAATCTCGAACAACGAACGAACGAAAAAAAAATAGCAAAAACTGATATATCCCCTTCATAAATAGATATATATTGAAAAGAGAAAAAAAAAGAAACTCACAAAACGATCAAAAGAAAGAAAGAAAGAGAAACTTGTCATCAATCGCCACCAAAAAAAAAATATTGTATGTGTATTCGATATTATTGTTGATGGTGGTGGTGGTGGTGGTGTTTTTTTTGGTGTCACACAAGCGTTTAGTTTTCGTTTGTTTGTTAATTTTTTTTTCTATTTGCGATTAGAGTGTGTGTGGATTTCATTCTGAGTGAAGCTTTATTTATCATCAATAACTTTTTTTTTCTAATCGTGAATTTAACATACCACACATAATACCATCGAGATGGTGTCATCATCATCATCATCATCATCATCAACCCCACCAAACAACAAATGTGCTCACAAAAACATTTCTACGACGTCGATGATGATAAATTTTTTTGGTGAATGACGATTCGAACGTATTCAAACAAAGAAGATTGAAAACAAAACAACAAAACATTCGAACGTTCATTTTTGAGCCATCCATTTTTATCCATCCATCCAGAGCCAACCAGCCAGCTAGCCAAAAAAAACAACAACAACAACAAAACATTTAAATCAATCAGACACTTATTCTCACATTTGTTTTCGGGTGTGTATATTATTTTGGTGCTGGTGAACATTTGAAATTAAAAAAAAATTTCTTCGATTTGAATTTTCTTTCATTGCTATCTCGTATTTCGGTGATTTATTCTCTTTCTTTTGTGTGAATCTCCTTATTTAAATTTTGTTTTTTTTCAGTTGTTAAATTGTGTGATATAATTGCGTGTGTGTCTATTATGGTTGAAATGTTTAAATGATGATGATGATCATCATCATCATCATCATGATCATCGACGGTGTATAGCACACATAGACACACACACACATACACGTATATATAAAATGAAATAAGAAGCTCAAAGTATTCCTATTTTTTTTCTACATCTTCATTCTCTATCATTGGATTTGTCTGTACCACCGTAATCAGCACAAATTCAATCATACATCATCATCATCATCATCATCATCAACAACAACAATAATCAGGAATAGAAGAAAAAAAAAGTCAGTCATAAGATGAATATATTTGAAATGACAACAACAACAACAACAAATGTAATATAATCATCAAAAAAAATCTCAAATTTTTTTTTGTAACGAAATTCTGTATGTAAGAAACATAGAAAACGAAGAAGAAGAAACTTATTTTAATTCCATTCTTTCTTTTCTTTCTTTTGTAGTGTTCTAATTTGGTTGGAAATTATTTCATCATCATCGATGTCATTGTCGCCGTCATAGCCATCTTGTTATTGTTGTTGTTGTTGTTTGCAAAAGAATTATCATTTCATCAGAATTTTTTCAAGGTAAATTTCCATGACTTTTTATTTATTTTGTTTTTTTATCTTGAGAATTTTATTTATTTATTTTTGTCTGTCTGACTGTGTGTGTGTGCGTGAATGATGTCACTATTTGTTTGTTGAATCCAAGTCATTTTGATCACTATGTGTAATTTTATTTTTTTTTTGCATTGATAATCACTTAATACCGATGATGATGATGATGATAATGATTACTACTAAGCCAAACCAAACTAAATAACAGTGTAAAAAAAATCGATGCCAACCCGATTAATTAATCAATCATCATATGAATTAATTATTATTATTATTATTGGGCTTCTTTCTTCTTTTTTTTCTCGATCATTCCATTTACATTTTGATGAATGTTTTTCACCGAAATAAACTTTGAATTTCTCATGAATTTCCGTTTTTTTTTCTTGTTGCTGCTGTTGCAAATAGAGGACGAGTAAGAGAAAGATAGTAAATGACAAATTTACCAAATTATAATCATCATCATCAATAATAATATAATATTTCATTCATATATCGTAATGTGTGGTGGTTGTGGGTGTACTTTGGTTGTACGTAATCATTTTGAATGAAATGAAAAAAAAGTGTGTGATTCGGATCAATTTTTTTTTTTTTTTTTGGTGATGATGATGATATCATCGAAACATCCATCCATCCATTCATATAAATGATGATAATGAAAAAAAAATCATCATCATTCAAGTTTAAAGATTATTTCGTCTTTGGCTCGTGTTTGTATTTACATTTTGTTGAATACGCGTGAAAGAAAAAAAAATAATTCCTCGTAATCATTGAGTGGGGAAAAAAAGTGGTGATAAAATCAACCAAATATATTGCCATCAGCAAAATCATCATTCAATGTGAAAAAAATAATCAACACATCAGCCACTCTCGGTATTAAAATGAATAAAAAAAAATATCATTGATGGCCATGAACTTGAAGTTCAATAAAGAAAATTTATTGCATTTTTTTTCTTGCGTTGTCGTTCAAATGCATGTCACGCCATCATTTTAAAATCATCAAGCAATATAAATCTGTGATAAACATTTTTACCGTTAACTTTTTTTTTCATAATTGTTTCGTTTTTTTTTCTCGCACATTTTCGGGTCATTTGGTGTTGTTGTTGTTGTCATTGTCATTGTCATTGTTTTTGGTAATTATTTACAATTTTGAATAATCATTTGATCTATAATTGATGAAAAAAAAGACAAAGCTAAGCTCCGTTTGATGACGTCTTTTCGATTCGGTTCGGCTATGCTCTGTGCACTGGTTGGCCTTTATGAAATTGATTCAGAGAAAAAAAAATTTTCATTTCGATTCACTAGTTCATGACATTATTTTTAGTCTCAAATTTTCTCTCTCTCTCTCTCTCTCTCTCTCTTTCTGTTTCCTTCCCTCTTTGTTTATGTTTTATTTATTTTGATGTTTGTCTGTTGTTGTTGATTACCAAATGTCCATTGGTGATTCTTTGGAAATACAGCCACAACAACAACAATAACAACAACACTGTTGTTGTTATTTCCAATGTTAATGTTGATTATTGGTAATGGTAAACATCAATTTTAATTGGAAATTTTTATTTTCCCATCATAATAACAACATTTAATCATAATCATCATCATGTTTTATTTTTGACAATATATTTTTGTTTTATTCTAAATACCTTTGAGAATTTTCAGTTTGTAAATCATTACAAACTGTCACATTATTATTTTTCATTCTCATATATAAAAATTGTTGATGATAAATACCAGCATAAATTCAATTCTATTGAATAATAATAATGATGAAATATGGAAAAAAAATTTTTCCACACTTACCACTGTTGAATAATGATGATGATCAAATCAAATGCGGAAATTGAAAAAATTTCGTAATCTTTCAGTATTTTTTTTGTATCCATTGTGTGGTCGTTGTCGTCGTCGTTTTTTACTGCACACTTCAAACATAATAATAAAATATATACTTCCGTTTTTTTTTTTCTTTTTTTTCTGTTTCATTGTGTCTGGTGTTTTTCATTTTTTTGAAATCTATCTCTTTATGACGCTTTCATGTCTATAATATTATGTTGACAAATAATACATTCATTTTCAGTTTTTCTTTTTCTTTGTGTATACCAGATTTATTCAGTTTTTTTCTTTCTTTTTTATGCCTTCAAGGCTACTTCCTTGAAATGATGTGTGTGTGTGTGTGTGCATGTATGTTTTTGTTGAAAACATGATCCAAACCATTTTTTTGGCTACCAAAATATCATCATCATAATCATCAGATTATTATTATAAACACAGTTTTTTTTCAATATAGTCAATATTGTGCCCAGCTGATTAAGATTAAATTCCATCGTTATCATCATCATCATCATGATGATCGATTTTCTTGTTTACTGTATGCTTATTGATGGAATTTAAACAAATAAACAATTTTCAATGTACATTACAATGTCCAAATGGTTTGTATTTCTTAAAACATCATCATGAAAACATTTTTATATAAACAGATTCTATTAATAAAATACTCATGTTTTATAGATAATTTTTTTTTCTTATTTTGATCATTTTCGTTTCCACCATCGTCGAGAGAGAGAGAGAGAAAATACGAAATAATTGACTGATGAATAATGCCATTTGATGGTGATAATAGTTGTTTATATGTGATCATGTGAATGCAACATAGAGAGAATCGTCGTTTTTCCTCCGGAAAATGTATAGGTTTTTCGTTTTTTTTTTTAAATTTCTACAAAGTAACTTTGAAATGAAAATGAATCATTTTGAATTCAAACAAAAAAAAATCAGTAAATAAAACGAGTTTACCTTGATCTTTTCTGGATGTTGAAAAAGCTATCATTACATGATGATGATGACGATGATGTTGAACTGGACATTAATGAATGAGTTTTGATGATTAAGTGCAAGAGAGAGAGAGAGAGAGAGAGAAAGAAAATGAGAGAGAAAATGAAAGAAAGAGAAACAGACATAAAAAAATCAGGTAAAGGTTTTTCCAGTACAAAATACTTATGATATATATCTAATTGAAGATTTTTTTTGGGCGAACAAAAAAAATGATAATCTCTTTTGTTGTTTTTGTTTTTTTTCATGGTTTTTAATTGTAAATGTAAATCAATCTGATTGATTATTATTATTATGTCATTAATATTTTCATCATCATTTTTTTTGATGACCTTTATCGATAAAGTAAAAATTTGTTCCTTGTATCCATTTTTTTTCGTTGTAGTAGCTGTTGTTGTTGTTGTTGTTGTTGTTCAACAATGTGTTAAAGGTGATCATCATTAAAATCTCTGTAAATCTTGAGCTATTTTTTTTTGTTCCTTTTCCAATATGAATGATAAATCCATTCGTTTTTTGTTTTCTATATTACATAACGAAACCCGTTATTTCAGCAACAACAACAACAACATTTCGTTCCATCATCAGCATTATTTTTTTTTTGTTCATAAAATTCAAGAGCAGCAGAAAAAAGTTTGAAGATTTTATTTTCATTTTTTTTACATTATATATCGATATTTATTATGGATTTTTATGAGTTTGTGCATGTGAAGAAGATTTCATCACCAAATTAGTACTAAAAACCACAAAACGCACGGATGAACATTGATTTTTTTTTTTTTGGTTTATGCATGATCTCGAAAAAAAGATCAATATTGTTGTGGAAGAAGAAGAAGAAAAAAAAATCATCAAATCTGATGATGATTATTACAATAATAAATTGTATCGTTTCATTTCATTTCATTTTTTTCAATTATCATCCGCCGCCATCTTCATCATATGACTTTTTACATATTTAGAAATACGTATATAGTAGTAATGATGATGATGATGATGATTAGGTGTGTGAATTTGATTGATTTATATATCGATAAAATAATGATGTAAATGTTGTAATTTTTTATTTTGTCCTTTACTTTCTTACATTGATGATTATGACGAGGATGATGATGAAATTTGATCACTATTCATTTTTTTTTTTTTTTTGCTTTTGCTTTGATACAATCACTTGAGTATAAAAATGATCAAATCAATTCAATTTAATTTTGATCGATAATTTGATACACATTCAATATAATTTTTTTTTTTTTTTTTTGGTATTGATTGTCATCGAGTTATTTATTGTATGCAGTGTATATAAACATCGCATACTCGTGTTCCAAATGTACCTGATGATGATGGATGATGATTAATATTTTTTGTGTGTGTGTGTGTATGGTGTATCCATCATCATTGAATGTCGTCATCATCATCAACAACATCATTCTGTTTGTTTGTGACTTTTGTCATGCAAATTTTTTTTTCTTGATTCTTTTAATATCATCATTTCTCATTGAGAGAGAGAGAGAGAGAGAGAGAAAGTTGTTATTTTCAGCTTCTACAACAGCATTTAGTACCATATAATTTGGAACTAAACATTAGACAAACCGTCAACAACAATAGACAGTAAATTCATTCATTCCGGTTGTAATATAATGACTATTTTTATTTTTATTTTTTTCATTCATTTTCTTGCTTTGAATATAAAAATTGACAAAATAGTCAAATGTACTCGTAAATCGATTTGCCAGCGGTTCATTCATTTATTTTTTTTTCTTTCGTTGCCATTTGTTGTTGTCGATTTATGTTCAATAATAATAATAGTTATTAATCGACAAAAAAATTAACCAAAAATTACATTATGACAAATTTATGTCAACTAATTCCAATAATCATCATCATCATCATAATAACAGATCGATCGATTGATTGACTTGGTTTTTTTTGCTTTTCATTTCGGAGGAAGGTTTTCTCTCTTTCTTTTGTTGTTTGAAGAAGAATTTGGCATCCATTTTTTTAGTCTGTTTAGTTTGATTCAGTATAATCGTACTTGAACAATGACAACAACAACAACAACAACAACAAAACCATGATTATTTTGATAACGTCATCATCATGAAAATGTTGGTTCGTTTGTTTGTTTGTTTGTTGTTTGTTTGTATTGTATTGTATTCCATTTTGCTTGATAATCGTGATTTATAATGTTTTTTTTCCGGTGTACGATAAAAATACCCAACTAATTGAAGCATTAGTATTGTACTATAGCAATATCTCATCATACATATATATATAGCAACGAAACCAAAATCTGTATATTTTTTTTGGTGTTCGTTTTTTTTTTCTGTAGTCCTAATATGATTATGATTGTGATGATGATGAACAATAAATAATTTTATTCATTTACAGTAAAACCTTGGTTTTTTTTTTGGCTATAATTGCTTTCATACTTGATGGTTAATTGTCTTTTTGTTGTTGTTGGAATGTTTTATACCGGTATCTTTCCGTATACACACACGCACACACATTCAACATAATAATGACAGCAGGTTTTATTTTGTTTTCTCTCTCTTTTTTTTCATTCATACCCGTTTACTTTTGTTGTTGTTGGAATGTTTTATACCGGTATCTTTCCGTATACACACACGCACACACATTCAACATAATAATGACAGCAGGTTTTAGTTTTGTTTTCTCTCTCTTTTTTTTCATTCATACCCCGTTTACGTCATTCATTTGTATTTTGTTCATTATGAAAATTTTTATGACCAGGACAGCTGTGTGTCAGTTGCTTTTAAATTCAAACATTTAATCATTCATGCATGCATATACACGTACCCATTATTGTGCTTGTTGTCATATTTTTTTATTCATTTAATTTAATAATGTGTCCGGCTGAAATAGAAATTGTTTTTTTTTGACAGAGAAAATCGCCTCAAATTAACTCTGAAGACAATGGTTTTGCTCATTTTTTTTTTTTTTTTTTTTTTGGTCAAATTGAATTTCTGTTTATTTCATTTGATAAACTCTATTTTTGTTGCTGTTTTTATTTTTTTCGGTTCGAATTTGAGATTCCATTTGGTATTGCTATTTGGTTTTGGCTAAAAATTTCACATGTTGGTTCATTTCGTTTGGCCAATATGAATGTTTTCACTTATGTGACAATTAGAACGTGAAAAATTTTCTAAAAGGTGAAATCATCATCATCATCATCATAATGTTTATTTGTCCCATTTGGATTTATCATTAGGATTTTTAAAGAGATCAAAGATAAAACACGGTAGATTTATTCAATGGGAAAAAAACAGCAAGAAGGAAACTATCTTGTTTTCCTTAAAATCGTTTTCTTTTGCTTTTCAAAAAAGTTGTTTTCTTAGCTTCAAATATCTCTAATACATGAACCATGCTAAAAACACATGAACACACACACAGAGACAATTGTGATTCAATAATAAATCATCAAACTACGATGATGACGACACTACTTTTCTCTTTATTTATATCATTCAATAATAATGATTTTTGGAACAGTTTTTTTTCGCTTCTGCTGTTGTTGTTGTTGAAAAATCGTTATCATGATTTACCTTGAACTAGTTTCATTTTTTTTGTTGTTTCTATTTCTTGTTTGTATCTGTTATTTTGACATTCATTTCATTATTTGATGATGATGTTTGTGAACATTTTCAGAATTAACAAACAAACGAGAAAAGCAAAATGTGTACGTGTACATAATGTACGTGCCATATGCTAATGATGACAATAATTTATTTTTAAAGGAAAAGAATTATGACAGATTTTGTTTTGTTTTTTTTCACAAATAAAAATTATGATGAGAATATTTTATTTATCATCAGTTGATGGTCATTTTTTTTTTTTTTTTTGAAGAAAAAATTTTCTTTTTTTGGTCATTTCAAAAAACGAGATTCATTTTGATTATGAAACCACAAATGAATGAATGATTGATTTCAATTTCAAAGAAAAAAAAACTTAATCAATCAAATCATAACCCGATCGTTTTGTTGTTTATTTTTTTTATCATTTAAAATTTTTTTTAATAACATCATAATCATCGTAATGATGAGAAAATAGAATTTAAAAAATTCACATTTTTCATGTTCAAAAATCAATCAATCGATTATCATCATTATAATAATGTTGTTGTTTTTTTCTATTTCATTTTCAAAAAAGCAGATTTTTTTTTAACTTACTCACACGCACAACACACACACACAGACATAGTGGCATCATCATCATCGATCGATCGATATATAAAAATAAAAAATAAATGTGAAAAAGAAAAATGTCAAAAAACGATAACAATAATTATAAAAATCAACACCATAATAATAGCGATGATCATCGTGGCCATAACAATCTAATGACTAATGTAATTGAAGTGGTGCGAAATATTAATAATAATAATAATAATACTGTTCCAAATAATCATCATCATTCACATCAATCAATGATTATGAAATCATCATCGATGAATAAAAGCGAAACTTCATCATTAAATCATGGCCTATTTGTTAATAGTAACAACAACAATAATAATAATTACAATAGTACTTCAACATCATTAACAATGGCACAAGTTATTTCTACAAATCCAACAACAAAAACATCATCATCAACGTTATGTGGAAATACATCTAATATCAATGTGAATACAACAACAACAACAACAACAACAACAACAAGTAATAATAAAAAACATAATATTGGATTTCGTCTTCGGCGATTATTTTTTGGAACAAATTTACCGAATGGACCAGCAACAACAATTTCATCGAAATCGAAAATTTCGAAAGATTCAGGTAGTGGCGGTGGTAATGATTCTAATGAAAATAAGGTAGGTTTATTTAACAGGAAAAATGTTTGTAATCATTTGTTAATTTAACATTTTCTTTTATGTTTTTTTCTGCTTTATGCTGAAAATAGAATTTTATTCGACACAATCCTTCGTTACATTCGAATTCAAGCGAATCATCTTATGAACATCGTGCCATTGATTCACGACGTAAAAGGAATACATTGACACCGAAAAAAACGGATAATTGGCCATTTCATTCAATCAGCAACAACAACACTAGTCATTCGATGAAACAGCAAAATTCATATGAATGTCCAATATGTCTGTTAGAGCAACCATTATTTCAATTTCCCGAGCTTAAAACATGCCAACATCGAGCTTGTTTCAATTGTTTACGACAATATTTACGAATAGAAATTTATGAATCTCGTATCAACATCACTTGTTTACAATGTCAAGAATTGATGCATCCAAATGACATCAAAACACTTTTACATAATGATAATGTTACTATTGAAAAATATGAATCATTCATGGTTCGAAGAACATTAATAACCGATCCTGATGCAAGATGGTGTCCAGCTCCTGATTGTGACTATTGTGTAATAGCAACTGGTTGTGCCAGCTGTCCAATGTTAAAATGTGAAAAACCTGGGTGTGAAACACTGTTCTGTTATCATTGTAAACAGGAATGGCACCCAAGTCAGACTTGTGATCAAGCACGTGCTCAACGAGGTCTTATCAATAGTAAATCAGTATTCATTAGTTCTCCGAATCCAACTAAATCAAATGTTACGTTCACATCACGTGGTAATGATTTGTTTAGTCAGGCTCATGCTTCTACATCGATGGATTCGTTTGTACCCAGAGAAGACATTAAACCTTGTCCATGTTGTAAAGTACTCATCATCAAAATGAATGATGGTTCCTGTAATCATATGACATGTAGTGTTTGTGGTACGGAATTCTGTTGGCTTTGTATGCAAAAAATATCCGATTTACATTATCTTTCACCATCGGGCTGTACGTTTTGGGGCAAAAAACCATGGAGCCGAAAGAAGAAAATTATGTGGCAGCTTGGCATGTTGGTTGGAGCACCCGTTGGCATCGCATTGATTGCTGGTATAGCTGTTCCGGCCATCATTATCGGAATACCTGTATGGGTCGGTCGTAAATTGTATTCTCGTTTTGAACGAAACCACATGTCTCGTCATAAAAGTAATTTCTTTGTCACCACTGGCGTATTGGCTTCAATATTTGTTTCACCGATATTGGCCGCTGTTGCCGTTGGAATCGGTGTACCATTATTGTTAGCATATGTTTATGGTGTTGTTCCGATTTCTCTTTGCCGTTCAGGTGGCTGTGGTGTTTCTACCTCTTCTTCAGGTGTTCGTATAGAACTTGATGAAGATGAAATTCCTGCTCCAGGTTTGTTTTCTGTTTGATCGAATTGATATGATTGATATCTAAATAATTATTTGTTCAATTTTAGCAGATGGTGTTAGCGTAGATACAGCACTTAGTGGCCGAGCAGTTACAAATCCAAGCATTGGTGAAGTTTCATTAGGAATGTCGGCAAGTTTAAGTATTGGTTCAAGTAGTCATTTAGATCGAGTTGTACTTGATATTCAACCGGATCGTGAAAGTTCATCGATTGTAGCCTGTGCTGGCAGTATAACAAGCAATTATATTAATAACAATAATAATGTTACCAACAATAACCAGCAAAATCATGGTAATAATATCATTGGTGGACAAATGAAATTAGAAACATTGGCCGATATCAATTCCAATAACAGTTTAAGTAGCCAGAATGTTGATTCATCGTCGGTAACATTAAGTTTTGGTGATCGATCTGTCAATACGAATGCATCATTGATTGATGAGGCTAGTAGTTTAAAAGCACATGCAGGATCATTACTTGAAGCTCCTACTAATATTCTATCCATTTCAAATAATGGAACACAATTATCATTATCTCCAGTTGAAGTTCATGTTATAAATGATAGTTTGGAAAATGACAAAAGTTTCACAACAACCAAGAAACATCAACCGAATCTGTTGACAAAAACATCAGCAGCACCTGAAACAACAACAACAACAACAATTCAAAATGTACAAGTACCAGTGAATCTTATTCTCAACAAATTTGAATCACGTTCATTGGAATATTTATCGAACAATTATTGCAATATTTGCCATAAATCGCACAAGCCATGCTGTCCAAATTTTCAACATCCAAACAATAAATCAATCAAACTTGATTTGAATAAAAAATTACAGCAACAGAAACCTATCACATTTGTTGTGGGTGAAACATCAAAAAATGATTGCTCATCATCGATTGTTGGTAATAATGATGGTGATGGTGATGGTGATAATCTGGCCAAACATTTGAAACCAATCAAAATCGATGATAATGAACGATTGAAAAAATCTATTGGAAAAAATACTGATATAAATCATGTTGATGAAAAAAATTCAACTGAACAGCAGAATGTGAATATTCAATTGGACAATAACAGTGTATCATCATATTCTTATCATCATCATTATAATCATCAAAATCGTGGCCCAACACCAACATTGACGAAAAAAGCAATGAGCCAAATATTTTATCCATCAAATTTTAATCAATACAATAATAATAATAATAATAACAACAACAACAACAACAATAATAATAATAATAATCATCATGACAATAATGAAAAAATTTCCAAATCAAATTTATCACATTCAAAAAAATTTTACAGCATACAATAACCAATTCATGAATTTATGTTTTGTTTTTTTTTTCATTCATTCAGTCATTCAAAAAGAATTTTTTTTTGTGAAACAAAGAATCGTAAGAATAATAATTTGCAAAACAAAACAAAACAAAAACATACATAAACCAATTGTGATACCTTTTTCATTTTTTTTTTTTTTTTTTGTTCTTTTTCATTTAAATGAGCCCCACACACATTTCGTTATCACAACATTTTTGTCAGACGATCTTTTTTTTCTCTCTCTCTCTCTCTCTCTTATATATGCGTTTTGTGTGTGTGTGTGTGATCAGGGATCATTCAGCAATTATCAATTTTAATAATTGAATAAAAAAAATTTTTTTGTCCATTTCTTTTTTAGTCTTTGATTAATTTTTTGACATTGTCCTTCTTACTTTTTTTTTGTCTTCTTCCCCATCACCATCGCCATCACATAAACATATTACACATGTATGTGCACACACACACCGTCATCATCATAATCCTTTTTTTTTCTTTCTTTCTTTTTTTTTGGATATTGTATACAAATTTAATCAAATTTTATGATGATGATGATGATGATGATATATAACACCCAAAACCTCGCCTGATAATCTTTTTCTGACCATTTTTTTTCGATGATAATGATTTGCTCTAATTTTATTCTTTAAAAATAATAATAATAAATTTATCTATATTATAAATGATATTTAGATCCTGGAAAAAACCAAGTAATAATTTATTGAACCTTAATGTCAAATGCAATGTGAATTTTATTGTGTGTGTGTGTCATTTTGCTGCTTGCTGATTACTTTTGGTGGTTGATTATGATGATAAGCAAAAAAAAAAAAATGATGATTTTTTATGATTTTCAACTGGTTTATATATATAGATTTTATGAAGAGAACAATTTGGCTGTAAAAAAAAACAAATTTCTCATCATCATTATCATTTGATTTGATAATTGTCTATTCAATTTTTTCATTAATATATGATGATTAATGAACGATAATATATATATATAAATATCGAATACTGATTCATTGTCACTTTCACTCTATTATTTATATATTTAATAGTAGCGCGTTAAACCATCGTGTTAAAATTGAAAATAAAAATTCGATTTTTTTTTTCTTATTCAGTGAAATTTTAATCAATTTTTTCAACTGTAAATTAAAAATGGCAAATTTTGAATTGACAACTTCGATGAAAGAAAATATTAAAACTTTTCCAAAACAATTACAGGATAAAGTTTTCGAATGGCTTGAATGGGATAAGGTATATTTGTTGTTGTTTCAATTACCTTTCAATGATTAAATTTTTTTTCCTTATATATTCAAATAGGACGTTCAAACTTGGAATGAAATTGCCAAATTAATCGATTCCAATCAAGTGGAACGTTTAACCAAATTATTACTTGAACGACAATGTTTTGGTACGGCTGGTATACGTGGTATTATGGAAACGGGTTTTAATGGCCTAAATAATTTGGTCATCATACAAACATCACAAGGTTTGGCAAAATATGTAAAACAATTGCCCACTACTGCTAAGGAATTATTGGTGGTAATCGGCTATGATGGTCGCCATCATTCATTGGATTTTGCACGACTTACAACGAATGTTTTTCGCAATGCTGGATTTAAAGTGGCATTATTTTCGAAAATTGTACCGACACCATTCGTTGCATTTGCGACAAAATTATTGAACGCTTCCACAGGCATTATGATTACATCATCACATAATCCTAAAGTTTATAATGGCTATAAAGTTTTTGGCAATAATGGTGCACAAATTTTATCGCCACATGATTCAAATATACAAATTTCTATATTGGCAAATCTAAAACCTTGGAATGATCAAATATGGGACATTTCCAATAATAATTTCAATTATGATGGTATTCAATTATTTGATCCATTACAACAAGTATCTGAACAATATTATAAACATTTAATGAATTGTTCTACACGCCATGATTTGGTAAGCAAATCGGATTTGAAAATAACCTATACATCATTACATGGTGTTGCCCATGAATATTTGGAAAAAATGTTCCAAGAATTTGGTTTTAAAAATCATTTTGCCGTTGAATCACAAAAAATGCCTGATCCTGAATTTCCTACCGTTCATTTTCCTAATCCTGAAGAAGGACAAGGTGTTTTTGTAAGTAATAATCATCATAAATCATTATAATTCACAGTAGTTCATCTTTGGCATTTTTAATTAGGATGAATCATACAAGACTGCCGAAAAAACTGGAAGTTCATTGATATTTGCTGTCGATCCTGATTCAGATCGTTTTTGTATGGGAGAAAAACATGATGAATGTTGGCGTATCTTTAATGGTAATGAAATAGGCGCATTACTTGGCTGGTGGATATGGAATGAATTTTGTTCATTGAAAAAAAATTGTGACAATAATTTTAAAAAATCTGATTGCTACATGATTTCATCGGCTGTTTCATCGAAAATTTTACAAACATTTTCAAAACAAGAAGGATTCAATTTCCTTGAAACATTGACTGGATTCAAATGGATGGCTAATGTTGCATTCGATTTAGAAAAAGAAGGAAAACAAGTTCTGTTCTGTTTTGAAGAAGCAATTGGATTCATGGTATTTGTGTATAATAAATTAATTTATTATTTCCATGGTCTAGCTGTTTATTTATTTGTTCATTTTTTCTTTTTGTTTGTTTCATTTTATTAGGTTGGCACAAATGTTTACGATAAAGATGGAATTTCCGCTATGGCCACTATGCTACAATTTGCAGCATATTTACATTCGAAAGGGCAAACATTTTTGGACAAATTGAATGAAATCTATCGCACATACGGTTTTCATTATAGTCTCAATTCCTATTATCAATGCTATGATGGTGATAAAATTCGACAAATTTTCAATCGTATGGCCAATATTGATGGCCCTAATTCGGTAATTTTTTTTTTTGTTTTATTGACCAGTCATTTATGATTATTTATTTATCGATTTATTGATTTATAGTATATAAAACAAGTCAATGGAATCAAATGTGTTCGTGTTCGTGATCTAATCCGTGGTTTTGATTCATCAGCTATAGATCAAAAGGCAACATTGCCACCGAATTATATGATAACATTGTTTTTTGAAAATGGTTCCGTAATCACTTTACGAACCAGTGGTACGGAACCAAAAATTAAATATTATTCCGAAATTGTTGCTCAACCAGTGGAAAGGTAAATCAAGTTGTCAAGTTATTATTAATCTGAAAAAAAAAATTTTTCACTTTCATATAATTGCAGTGATTGGGAAAAAATCAAAAACAATCATCGAGAATTGATCGAAACAACCGTACAATTGTTACTACAACCCGATCTAAATGGTCTGATTGCTAAAAAGGATTGAAAACTTTTCAAACGTTTTTTTTTTCATTAAAAATTCTTTTATTTTTGTTTTGTTTTAAACATTGGAAAAAAAATAATAATAATATAATATAACCACCAACATTGTTATTTTCCAAAACCGGTAAAAGAACATTGAGAAATAAGAAAAAATTCTTTCATAGAATAATGATTTGTAGAAAAAAAAAAAAATTGTTGGATTATCAAATCCAAATTGAATAATTATATCATTGTTGTGTTGGTATTGTTGGTAATGTTGACTAATCATTATTTCAAATTGATGAGAATCCTTTTTTTATTGTTGTTGTAATGAGTGTAATTTTTTCGCCCCTCTCCAATATAACAAAATAAATCTGATTTTGTTAATTTTCTTCATTCACAAAATCATTGTTAAGCGATGAAATACAATTTCGAATCAATTGAACTTGTGACTTGAATTTGGAAAAGAAAGAGAAAAATCAGATCAGATCAGATTAGATTATTATTACAAATATAAATCATTGTAAACAAACCTTTGCATGTTTTATCTCCAATTCGGTCAATTCGACCAGATACTTTCTGAATGCAACAACACGACGTTTTTTGAAATCATTTAGCTCTTGTTTGGCCAATTTGGAAATGTTTTCAAATTTTTCACATGCTTGTTGCTGTTGATTTTCAGCCTGATGTACATCACGATTTTTTGCTCGTGCACGTTCCAGATTACGATTAGCAGTTTCATAATTTGCCAAACAACGAAGACGACGATTCAATAGCTCTTTAGCGGCTGCTGTATCGCGCATATAATATCTATAGAGGTCAGATAATTTTAAATCTTCATCCGAAGCGACACGATTTTCCGTTTTACGAAGCTTTTCCAATGCATCGGCAATACGTAGATAAAATTTTGTCAATTCAGGCGTTGGTGTACATTCCGGTGAGTTAGCCATCTGTACTAATGGTGTTACGATTTTAATATATGAATCGGCCACAGCTAAAAAATTATTGCAGAATAAAATTAATCATTTAACCCAACCCCAAACAAACAAACAACCACATACCTTTATGTGATTTGACCATAGTATCAGCTTTCATTGTTTGATTTTTAATATTATTATAATAATCAGATAGCTGAACTCGTTGTCCTTCGAAAAATTCATCAATATCTTTCTGCGTAGTATTCAACACTAAACCATCGGTTGAAGAACGAATGTTGGAAAATAGACCGACTAATCGTTCTTTTTTATTTTTTCCTCTTACACTAAGCTGTGGAAAAAAAAATTTTTGGTTTAATTAAAAAAAAATTCTTCTTTTCAAAGTTCTCAAATTCTTACGTCATTTTCATATTCCAAAAATATACGAAAATTAGCATCATTACGAAAACAAGGATGATTGGCCAAACGTTGAAGAAAAACTTCATGCATTGCAACGGTTTTTTTAAAAGTAGCCAAATATTCAGCTTCTAATTCTTGTTTCATTTTAGTGAATTCTTCTTTGGTCATTGTTCCTTCACCTTCACCTAGTTTTTGTAATTTTTCACGTGATGCATCAAAATCTGGACGTGGTGGTGCCGGTGGTATTATATAACCAGCATAATCTTCATTTTCAACCAGACTATTGTGTAACCAAATAAATTCTTCATGCTGTCTAACCACTGAGAATTCATTCTTTTTAAATTCAGGTAATGTTGTCTGTACGAAAGAAAAAAATTTCATTTATTCAGCTGCCTATGTTTTTTAAAAAATAAATACCTTTGTATGGACAGTGAATTTAACTTTATCACGTTCACTGAGTGCATCCGATATGTCCACCAACAATGATGTATCCGAAAGATCAATCGTTTCACTTCGTGGCTGTTTGAAACGGAAAAAAAATTCAAAATTAGAAAAAAATTTTATTCAGAAATCAAAAAAACCTTGACAAAATTTTCATCTAAATTTGAACATGAAAATTTAACTAAATCCATAATGATTTCTATTCAATATTGATGTCTATAGATTAGTCATTGAAAATCAAATGATTTTTTTTGACTTTTGATGTTTTATTTTGGCGGTAACTCCCCGAAATTACAATAATAATGAAAAATGTCATGATATTGGGTTCGAAGAACTTACTTTTATATTATTGGAATTATTTGTCGTTTCCAATGTGGCTGGTTGTTGTTGTTGTTGATTTGGGATCACCATTTGATCTTCAGTTTCTGTCATCATGTCTTTTTTCTGTTCTTTTCTTCTAAATTGCTGACAAATTGGTTAGTTTTTCTTCCACTTGATGAATGAATTGTTTTCTATTTCTGGTTTCACCGGAATTGAATATTTTCTTCTGTTTTTTTTTTGTTCAATTTAATTTCAATTTACAAATCAAGACCAACTACAAAATAAAAATCAAACAACAAAATAAATAAAAGGGGAGTTGATGGCCAATCATTGATTATTCATATGTGGTGGGCACATAAAAATGTCGAATGGTTGTTTTTCTTCCTCTTATTATAATTGAAATGAATGATGAATGAACATAAATATAACCGATTGCATTGATAAAAATGGTTGTAAATGACTTTGTCACACTCACTCATACACACACACATGTATTTTATCGTTTTTTTGAAAAATGACAAAAAAAATTGATAAAATCAACTGGTTGCTCGGTGCAATATTGCTTGTTGTTCGATGAATGGGCGAGTTTTTTTGTTGTTGTTGAAAATATAAACACAACAATGACAATGATAAATTTTTACCCCGATGACGATGACAATACCGGATTTTTTTTTTTTTTTGATTTAATGAAATTTATTATGAATTACTTGTGTTCTTCGAATCATCGAATAAATGAAAAGAATTTTTGATTTCTTTTTGATTTTAAAATGGAATGTTTGTCTGGGCGTTCAGAATTACGTTAATTGCCTTTATGGACCAAGAATCCTAATAAGGAAAAAAAATCAAATTTGAAAATGAACATGAACATTTCGTGCTTGTATACCAACTTTTTTTTGTGTGAGTTTAAATAATATGATGATCATGCAGAAAATGAAAAATTTTATTTTCGGAAAAAATTTTAAAAAAATTTACAAAATAACCGAAATTACAGGTTGGTAAAAAAAATTTTGACATTTATACATGCATTCATTCATGTGCAGGTAATGTATGTATTATAAACAACATTTGAGCAACATACACACACAAACACACCAACACAAATCAAATCTCAATCAAAATCTCAATGTTTTCGGGGGTGTCAATATTGAGAGAGAGAGAGAGAGAGCAACGTTAAAAATAAAAATTTCAACAAATGTCACGTTCAAAACAATCGTTCGTTTCGTAAAAAAAAACAATATTGTTTGGTTGGCGTTATAATTAAAAAAAAAAATCGGTAATCGGTAAGTGGATTTAATTATTCTCAAACAGAAATAAAATTTGTTTTTTTTTCATTCATTCAAGGAAACACAAAAAAGTCATGTCATTAGTTCAACAGATTGAGCAGCATCATCATCATTATGATTGTTCCAATTCTATTGATGAACTTTTATCTGTTTTCAATCAAGTGAATACATCAGAATCGATAATTTTTCTTCAACATTGGAATACAGAAATTTTAAAAGAAAAATTATTATTAATCAAATCACTTAAAGAATTCGAACAAATTTGGATTGAACTTTTATCTGCAACTCATATTACATCGTTTGTTGTATATCATGAACTATTGTTAAAACTTTTGACTACAGTATTGATGATGATGATGATGATCAATTTGATCGTCACGCAATTATTCTCAAAATTCTTATACCAAAATTGAATAATTATCCTCAAAGCTCATTATGGAAAAGTTTTCATTATTCTAACATATCGGCGGTGGATGAAAATCAATGTCTTTGTAATAGTTTGAAATGTTTGAAGGAAATAATATTCATCATTCATCAACATGATGATGGTCAAATTTCTGAATTTTTTGATCAACAATTAGAATCAATATTGGAATCATATCATCAACATAATGTTGATCGAAGATGTTTTGCATATGAATTGTTGAAATTTTCTTCATTCATCGTTACTATCAACAACATCAGAATACCTTGTGTGATAAACAAACTAAAAAACTGGATTCAATCAGATTTTTTATTGAAAAATTATCTGCGATTCTTTAGCCATGCTCGTGATTTTGCAGGCAACATTCTAACCGGTCACCAACGATCATTGCCATCGGATCCAGAATTTAATTATGATTGTCCATTGATTCGTTGTTACATACTATTCGTTTTGAAAATTCTTTCCATAGATTCCAACCATGAAAGATTCTTACAGATTTTTATCTCATCATCTTAATCAATTGAAATCGCGTATTGAAAACTGTGATAATAATAGTAAACAAAATGAAAAATTTCCCATCAAATGGTTAATTGAAATATTTATTACTGAAGATTCAGAATTATTTGAAATGTTCCATCAGATATTATTACTTTATTCGACAACAAAAAATCCAACAATAGTTGATGATAATGAAAGTGAATTTCTTATCCACAGGCTGTTTGAATATTTTATAACCAATTTCTATCTACAATGATTCATCTGTGTTATTAGATATGCTTTGTACGGATCAAGAAACAGCATCTATTGTTTTGCGATTTCTTATTGCTTATCTAAGAATTTTACCATATCATTGTAAGAATAATTCTCAACCTTGGTTTGCGCCTATCGTTCGATTTTTCCATGAACTTGGACAAAGAATTCAAAAACTGGATGAAAAAAATCTATTTCCATACAGTCCTAAACCATTGTTACGTTTAATGAATAATATTTAAAATTGAAATTTTATTTATTCAATCATCAAAATTTAAGCTCATATTTTACAATTATTTTGTCGATAATTTTGCCATGCAATTTCAGTTTTTTGCCACAATTTTCTTATCAATTGTTCCCAATCTGGTTTGGTACCAATATCACCAATCCAATATGGATTTGGACATATGTGATCATCTGGTTTTCGTAACCATTTACGAAGTGGTCGTACATTATAAATATATAATGAATTCAATGGCACTGGTTGTATTGTCGGTGTTAAAATTTCCATCAATAATCCTGTAATATAAACATCATCAATACTGATAATTGGTATGAATGAGTGGGCGTTTTGTGCCGCTTCATAAAGATCAAACGCTATGTCCGGTGTCATTAAGTAACCAACACCTGAACAATATGATGGAAATGTTTCATATGGATATGATTCCAATGATAATGACCATTTGCCGCGACGTTTTGGTTTGGTATTCGATGGAAATAGACTACATGCAAGTAGATTTTTTGCACGTAATGTATGTTCAACATTAATTAGATGATTTTTATAATTTACTAATGATTCTATCACAGTATATAAATTTAGATAAGCATCATCATCAAGTTTCATGATGAAATCCATATTATAACAGAATTCTATGGTCCAACGAAGACTGGCAACATGTTTATAAGTAAGATTTTGATAATGGTCCAAAAAATTTGCTTGAACAATATCCTGATAAACATTGGATTCTTCATTCACACGGTTCTGTAGTCGAGTGGAATTTGTAGCTCCTAAAATGAACACATAAATAATGTTGGCTTTCTGTTGTCGATGACCATGATGATGATCGAAATGAATTGAATCAATATGGCCCCAAGTTTCACGTATAATTTGTCGATGACGAAAATTTTGTACAGCCGAATGAATGATGATGACTAGATTTAAAAAACTATTGTTTGCGCTGAAATTTTGGCAACGATTTGAATTTTTCTTAATAAATTGAAAATTATTTAAATTCATTAAATGATAAATGGGAAATTTTTCTATTAAAATTTCATTCAATTTTCTTTCCGAATATGATGATAATGTAGAATTTCGTTGAAGTTGTTGTTTTTTTGGTCGATCATCATCATCATTTTCTTTATGATGATTGATTCGAATAACATGACCATTTCCATTAATATTTTGACGTAGATTATTATTCAGGATTAACATTGATGATGATGATTTAATTATTTCTGGTTCATTATTCAATGTCGTCGTTGTTGATTGACTATTACTCAACATCCATACTAATATCAATGAAACGGTAAATAAACTGATTAAAAATGTCATCAAACAAGATATGATAATAGCCATTTGATGATTGTCGATGGAATCACATTGATGATGATGATGATGAGATGATGTTAAAAATTCAATTTGATCATCATCATCGCCACCACCACCACCACCATCATCATCATTATCATTGTCTTTGAATTTGGTCGTTTTGTTGAAAACATCATCATCGTTTTTTTCAATGAAAATGAAAACATTAAAACCATTCACAAGGATGATAATCAAAATTTTTTATTCAATTTTCATTGTTCAAATCCATTTTTGGAAAACTGTTGCGCTGTTGATGATGAAGACTTTCGTTGAAACATTTTCAAATGTTAAATGATCGAACATTTGAAAAACGAATTGAAATGAAAAAAAAACTTGAAAACTTGTCCTATCGCGCGCGTAAAAAATAAAGGAGAAAAAGAAGGTGGTAACATCACCATTATCATCAACAGCGAAAAAGTAGAAAAAAAAACTAAACGAACAACTTTTCTGACTAGATGAAAAAAAAACTTTCAATCACTATATCAACCGTTTGTTTGTTTGCCATTTACTGTAACTTGACAAATATCATTATTATTTTGTCTGTTTCGTTTTGGTGGGTGTTGATCCATATATTTATTGCAGAAACAAAACAAAACAAAACAAAAAAATCCATAACCCTTGTTTGTCCATTTTTTTTCTGTGTTTCTCAAAGAAAACTGAATGTTTTTTTTTATTGTTTTTCAATAAATTTTTCCATTATCATCACTTTACTGAAGGGCTTAATATATGATGATAAAACAATGGCCAAAGAAGAAGAATAAGAATAAGAAGATGGATGACAAACAAGAACAAAACCAGAAAAAAATATGGATAGCATCCATATATATCATCCAAAAAGCTAATGATTGTTTGTTTGTTTGTTTTCTGTTTTATTTATTTAGTTATGATGATGATAAATCATCATCATTGTCCATTATTTTATCAAAAAAAAGGTTATTATTTTTTTTCCTTTGGCATGAAAAACTTGAAAATTTGATTTTTTAGTGGAAAAAAAATGACTTTATGGTCATTTTTCATACACACACACAAATAATTTCAAGCTCGATAGATTTTTTTTTTTTGTTTTGTTTTCCCAAAACCAACAATTCAATAATGAGTTGTTGTTGTTGTCAATTATGGAATAGAATAGGAAATGAATTACATTTCTATAAAGTTTTGACCATTTCAATAATTTGAAAAAAAAATTTTTTCTCAGAAATTTAAAAGGCATATATATGAAAGGTTAAATAGTCGAATAATAATCATCATTTTCGAATGTGGATATATAATTTGATTATGTTTATGCTGAGAAATGTTTTTAAATTTTTCCATGTTACCACCGCGTCACCACCACTGTTGTTTACAATGATGATGACGATGACCATATCAATGGTTTTATGATTTACTTTTGTCTTTGGAAAATTTATCACCATAATTTCTCATATCCTTTCTTTCTTTCTTTTTTTTAATCATCACAACTTCGAATTTAGTTTATGTTCTTTTTTTTTCTCTACCAAAATTCATTCTTCTTTTTTATCATCATCATCATCATTGTTTTTGTTGTTGTTGTTGTTGACGATGTTGCCTAATGAGATTCGTATTATTCGCTGACAGATTAAACAATGATAATATAGCCAACCCATAATTGGTCATATAAAGGGTCATTGTTTTTTTTTTGCTATTTTCCCACCAAAGATTGTGTTTTGTATATACAATAATGACATGATGATGGTAATGGTCATTTTGAATGAATGAATGAATGAATGATGGGTGATTGTAAATAATGAAAAAAAATTCTGTTTCGTTTATCTCCAAAATACCAATTTTAATGTTCATGAATTCAATTGTTTGAAATGAAATCAATTCATTTCATCATTTTTTTGTATATAAGACACATTGAATTGATGATGATGATGATGATCAATTTCATCAATTTTTTTTTGTTCGAATGAATGAATGAATGAGTTTTTCTTATCAGATGATTGAAATGTTTTTTTTATATTGTTCTTTTTCACATTTTTTTTTTGAAAATTGAATTTTTTTTTTTCCAATGGAAATGAATGAAGAACAATGAAAATTTTTAAATCTTGAAAGGTTATTATTACTACAGTTTTTTTCGTTGTTGTTGGTGTTCATTTAAATCTATTATATATTTGGTGTAACGTGATATTTTGTTTTGTTTTTCATCATCATCATCATGTTGATGAATTTTTTTTCCAACTTGATAAAACCAAATATCACGAAGATGATGAATGGAGTGTGTGTGTGAGTGTGTGTGTCTGTAATTCTTATTTCATCAACCGGGTAAGTAAGTACAAAGAAATATTTTTTCAAAATAATAAAAAACCGGTTAAATTGAATCATTTTTTTTTTTTGTTGTTCGCTCCGTTTAATTTACACACACACACACGCATATATACCGTTTATAACTCTTCAAGTGATTCAATTCAAAATAGTAAGATTTTTCGATTCATATATATGATGATGATGATGATGATAGAATGTTCACATGAGGAAGAAGATATGAAAAAAAACATTGACAATGTAATACTATAATCAATTTTACATTAACCATTTTCTCTCTCTCTCTCTCTCTCTCTCTCTCTCTCTCTGTGTCTTTTTGACTAAAATTACATTTCAAACAAAAAACAAAACACAAGAGAAAAAAAATGTTCGAAATCTCTTGTCAATCACAATCAACAACAACAACAACAACAACAATCATTAATGATGATTTTGTTTTATTTTATTTTGTTATTGTCGTCGTCGTCGTTGTTTTTTTTTTTTTTTGGCAAAAGCAGCAGTATTACGACACGTTAAATGATGATTGAATGAATGAATGAAATGTAGAATTGTGTAAATCCATTTTGAATGTTTTTTTTTATATACATAATATAATAATAACATAGTCAACCTCCTAATGTATACAATGGATGTTTGCATCAATCTATTGATCGTCTATCGGTTTTTTTTTTCGACAAGAAAATAGAAAAATCATTGACATTCTAATTGTATTGAATTGTCGTTGAATGAACCACCGTTGCATGAACCGAATACACACACATACACACACACAAACACACAAACAAATGATTAACAAGCTTGTTTTTCTCGTATCGAATTGAATCGATTTTTTTTTCTCTACTCGAAATCGATCGATCTACAGATCGATTGATCGTCATCATCATCATTTTTGTTCATCACGGTTGATTTTTTGTTTTGTTTTTTTTCGGTTGAATGGCTGGTAGTAGTAATAATTGATTCAATACACACACACACAAACACCGTTATCATAATCATTTGATGATGTTCCATGCTTGTCAGTTAATAATAGTTGTTATTTACCACATTTTTTTTCGTTATAAATATCGACAAGATAATTGATCGATACGATGATGATTCTTTAATAATAACAACAACAACAACAACAACAACAACAATCTAGCAGAATGAACAAAAAAAAATGATGGCCAAATATCTAATCCAATATTGTAGGAATAATAATAATAAAAAAACATTGTAATTTTCTGTTTCTTTCGGTTCCGCTTCTTAGTTTTTACACACACACACACACACAAACCCAGCACATATCAAATGTATTTGTTGTTTGACATATGATTGTTTGTCGATCATATTATAACACACACACACACACACACGCAAAATTGGATCCTATCGTCCAGATGGTCGCGAATTTTTTTTTTCTTGTAAAACCTTCAACACTCCTTCAGGATGATGATGATGAAAATAAATGAAAAAAAAGCAAAGAAGCAAACATATGAGATCAATTACACACATGGACACAATATGTTTATATTTTGACCATCACTAAACACGTTCCATGTTTATTTATTTGGCTAGTTGGTTGGTTGGTTGGTTGGTTGTCCATATGGTCCGAGTATTAAATAACACATGGATTGTCGTCGTTTTGGGTTGGCCATATTTTTTCGTTGTTGTTGTTTTGGTTTGTTCCAATTGAAAAATTTTCATTTCAATTCTTGACTCTGTTGATTTCTGGTCAGATTTTTTCTTTTTTTCTGGTTTTTGGTTTTTGGTTTTTGAATAATAATAAAATATGTTTAATCAACATAATAAATGGACAATTTGGTTTAAATTGTTACACATTTCAGTGATTGTAATCGCATTCGGTAATTTACTCCATTTAATCCATTCATATGGTCATCCATTTTAATCTCAGAAGATTTGTTTCCTTTTTGTATCGACACAGGACTATTATGTTTACTTGTTGGATATTGGACAGCATTCATAAAATATGTCCGAATCATTGCAACAACACGTGGATTTCATCATTTACCATATGAACTTTATTTCATCTGTTCCGGTAAGAGTGGTTTTTTTTTTTTGGTTCAATTTTGAATTTTTGTTTTGTTTTTGTTTATGCCAAATATATCCAAATGACTTTAGGAGCTTTGTTTGCCATTATCGGTAGTTTTATTTATACCCGTGTAACAAGAACAATTGATCGATTTAATGAACGTTTATCCAATTATATCCTGTTTAATAACCGGCTGCAACCGCATCCGCAGCCACAACCGCAACCAAATAGACAAAATCATCAACATCGAAAACATTATTATCCACATGAACAACAACAGCAACAACAACAAATTTCATCATCAATAAATAATGGTAATCGAGCCATGGTAATCCATATTACACATGATGTTGATAAATCATAAATGAGATGCACATATAAACATTTATATTGAATAAAAAAAGTTTTTTTTTATAACAAAAAAATTTCTGTTTTTCACCATGGTTATTATTTATACTCCGTTGATAGTTTATCAATGAAGCAATTAATATTTGACATATTGGATGCCAAGGTAACCATTATCATCATCGTCATTCAAAATAATTGCAATCCATCATCAAGATCAATCAGGAATGTTATGTATTTTGTTTGTTTGTTTTGCATGTTCCATGACGACCATGATGATGATGATTTGTTGTTGGCCAAATTATTTATGTTGAAAGTGTGGTTGGAAAACTAAAAAAATTTTTCGTTATATTTCTGAAAACCAAAAAATAATTCATTGATTTAAAATGACCGAAGAAATTTCCAATGGTCAACATCATAATGTTTATCAAAATGATGATGATGATGATGATAATGTTGATAATGAAGATGATGAAATGACTACAAATGAATGTAAAAAAGATTCATTCAATGATGATGATGGAACAAAAAAACGTTCTGAATGGTTCATGAATGCTTATATTTCAGTTGCAACAACTATCATTGGTATGTAATAAATTTTGATTGAATTTCCCACAAATTGATTGAATTTTTGATATACTCATCATCAGGAATCATTATAATTGTGGCTGGTGCAATTGTAACCATGCTAAAACGTATTCGTTTCGTAAGTGGTTGGAATAAAAGTGGTGTTTATCTGGGCAAAGGAATTGCCAAATGGAGCGGTTCGTATATATATACTTGATGATAAATCCGTTCCAATGTGTTTGTGTGTAAATTGAATATTTTTGATTTTTTTTCCCACAGGTGAAATCACAATCATCGTCGGCTTAATTATTGCAATAATTGGTTACATTTGTTATCGGCAATGTTTGAAAAGAATCGATCTTTATATAAAAAATTTACAAGATGAAAATGATGACCAAAGAGTGATGAGAAAACATAATGATCATGATTATGATGAGATTCCAGCATCAAGATCATCAGAAGAGAAAAAACAATTTTTAGATTGACAAATTCTTTTAGAATAAGCCAATATTGTTTGTTGTCGAAATCGAATGATCACCATTTATTATCGGTTGGATTGCGAAAAAAAAGTTGAATTTTTCCATGTTCATTTCCAATAAATTTCCACACTTCATATTTTTAAAATTTTTTGAAGAGTTTTCTGTGTGTGGAATTTCAATATTTTTTTTCATTTCAACTTTGAGATCAAGTTATCATACACACACTTGACACTTGACATTTGACATTCATGATAAGCATGATGATGATGATGATGATAGCGTCTAGAAATAAAAATGGTTTTTTTAGACAATAATTTTTTAAAATAAATGGAAAAATACTTGTTTCTTTCTTACACCAAAAAAAATCAACAAGTGTCATTGATTCGTATGTCGAAATTGCTGTTGTTTTCGTTTTGTCAAACAAATAATAATTGATAAATCGAATAGAATCGAAATTTGGCGGCTCATTGATTACATATAGTTCGTCGGTATACGGTAAATTGATGATTTGATTCTCAGCATTCATTCATTCATTCATGATGGTAGCTTTTTTTCATGTGATTCTCATTCGTGATGATGATTAATCTCATTTTATTATTTCGTTTTTGTTTACTTGCTTTTGTTTTAATCATTGGGAGAATTTTTCCATTTGTTGCAACAATCATCATCTGTTTTGATTTATCAAAAAAATTAATGATTCATGATTGATTGATTGATTGATCGATGATGATGATGATCTTGAATTTTCAATTAAATATCCATTCTATTTGACAATCAGCAAAAAAAGATCAATTTAATGATCATCATCATCATCATCATATTACCTGTATGTGTGTGAGAGTTGTATGTAATGTCACCGAAAATAATCATTATGATGATGATGATGATCAAAAAACCGGAATGGAAAAGGCCATAAGCAGATGATTGTGGTGGACTTGTGGAATCCAACATACACTGAACGACCAGTTTTTTCTGCTGTTAAACCAAGAAAATACAAAATAATGATGATGATGAACATTTGAAAAATAAAGTGGAAATATTATCCATCCAACCATAAAATAAATACATACCGAAATCTATTATGGTTTCTTAATTATCATGTTTTTTTTCTTCATTTCTTTGTTTGTTTGGTCATCATTAACCATTGGTCATTGGCCATTCAATGAATCACCATATGAATCTCATATATCATATCAAGCATGATGACAAAGAAAAAAAAATTTTCAAAACTATTTAAATGAACTTGAATGATCAAATCCTGTTCTTCATTAGCCATTAAATGTTTAGATTGTTGAATATTTAATAATGATCAAAAAAAAAGATACAAAATCCGACGACGATGGCCACGACCAACCGATCATTATAATGAATGATCCGGATGATGATCGTTGTACGTACGTGGATGGTAAAATGAAAAGAAAAAATGAATAATCAAATCAAATGTTAATGTAAATATATGAATAAATACCAATAATCAAAATCACATGAATTGAATTTAAATGAGGTGGCATTTTTTTTTTTTTTCATCACTCATCGTCGTCGATCAAATAATCCGATTGGAATATATTAACATTCGATTTGATTTTTTTTTTCAAAGTAAAAAATAAAAATGCTACAATGTTATTTTTGTTCACTGCATTGCCATCTGGCGAGCAAAACAGCAAATTGGTGAGATTTGAAATTTTATTTTCTCAAATTCAAATTCAATAAACAAATCTAATCAATCAATTCATCGATAAATGTATAAATAGTGAAAATAAAATTCATTCAAATGAAAAGCATTTTATTTTATTCTACTATATATATTCAAGTTTTGGTCAGAATTTTTTCAATTATTATTGTTATATTAACGATAAAAAAAAACCTCGACAACAGACAACAAAATATGAGTTCTCAATCAAATGAATCGAATGAAGATGATGATGAACAACAACGGCAGGAAAAAATTTCAAATTTCATTAATAATGATAATGTTAAGGATAATAATCGAAATAAATATCGATCTAAACGGACAAAATTTCAACGAATGAATTCACCACCGATACCTATATTGGAATTGAATTATACAAATCCATTAAACAATGGAATGAAAACAAGTAAATTAACTGTTCGAATGAAAAATTTGACAAATCGTAAGAAAAAAATGGCAAAAAAATATTCATCATTAAATGTTGGCGTTGATGTTGATGATGATAATGATAGTGATGGAGAATCAGTTCGATTTGGTCGTCAGGGACGGCGAAAAGCAAGTCGTCTATCAAGATTATCAAGGAATCGTTTCTATAGTAACAGAAGTATTAGCGGTGGTCGTGGTGGTGGTGGTGGTGGTATGCGTCGAATGGAATCAAAACGTTCAGTATCATTAAGTAAAACAAGTATACAACGTGCACGACAATTATTTGTTAAACATTTGGAACAAATTATTATGGAATCAATGTCAAAATTAATGATAAAACAACAAAGAAAAAATCGTGAACCATCATCATCATTATCATCATCATCATCAGTACGACGTACGAAAACTAGAACAAAAACAATGACACCAATAAAAAATCGTCGAAGATTATTATCAAGAAAAAGTCGAAAAACATTAGTACAAAAAAAACACAATAATCGACCATGGAAAAGTATGACAAAAATTTCATCAAAACAAATGTTGCTTACAAAAACACCTGATGAACGTAAAACAATGATGCCACGTGAAGAGATTGAAAAAATTATTCAAACAATAAAAATATTGAAACCAAAAAGTATTGATGATTTTGATGAAAAAACATTACCATCATTACCATCATCATCATCATCATCATCATCGTTGTCAACAGCATTATCATCATCAACATTATCAACATCTGAATCATCAACAACACAACAATTATTGCCAGAAAAGAAACAATCGATTATCGATCAAAATAGTGATAATGATAATGATGATGATGATCATGATCATGGTAATAAAAATTCAACATCAAAAATATCGAAATTAACAAATGAAAGTAAAATTCAAACGATAATTAAAATTAAAACTGCTAAATTTTCAAACGAATCGAAAAGTATTGACAATGACAGCAACAACAGTAGTAGTAGTAGTGGCAACAAAAAGTGTAACAATGACAATGATGATAAGCCGATTAAATCGAAAAAATTGATTGAAAATTCATCATCAAATATTAATGTCGACAGCAGTGGTAATATGAACATCGATGGGAAAGTCGAAGAATCATCCACTAAGAAAACTAAAATTATTGTGGAGAAAAAATGTGAAAATCAAAAAATTCAATCTTCCAATTTGAGCGATAATAATAAAGTTATTGATGATGATGATGAGAAAATTTCCAAACAAAACAACAACAAATTATTGGCGATTAAAATGAATGATGATGATGAAAATAGTGGTGGTAAAAAGACACCGACGACTACCACCAAGATGGAAAAAGTTGATGAGAAAAAATAAATTACATTTTTTCCACCGTTGGCGAATAGATGGCGCCAACAAGTGTGATAATTTTTTTTTCATTTTTGAAAATTAAATTTTTTTTTCAACAAAAAAATTTTTTTAAAGTTTTTGTGTGTGTGTGAGTGTGAAGGTCAAGTTTAATCCATATGATAAAATGCAATGTTTTGTTGTTGTCGCTGTCGTGTTGTTGTTGTTGTTGTTGTTCGGTCATGATGATAATGATGACCAGATTCAGACAAATAACCGAAAAAAAAACATTACCCGGAACACTGAAAAACGTAATAATCCGATATTCAAACATATCTTCTCATCGTAATCGTTGACATGTGACAAAAAAATGGTGATGATAATTTATGTAAATCTTTGTCTGTTGTTGGTGAAAGGCGTTTATGAACAAACACACCACAAGAATTATTAATTGTTATTTTTTTTTTTTTTTTGTTCGTTCGAATCGAATTGATGAATTGAATTAAAACTTTGAACTTTTTTTTTCTTTCTTTCTCGATTGTAATCAAAATTTATTTCATTCAACGATGATGTGACCAATGGTCAGCAGTGTGTGTGTGTGTGTGTGTGATGATGACACGAGTCACAGATTAATGTTCAGGATGAATATATTTTATTTTCATTTCTTTCGTTATTTTTTTTTTATTTCGTAAAGATAATCACGTGGTTTTGTCAGTGGGCCTTGTATGTTTTTTTTCATTATATTTTGGTTGACCAATGGTCAACGTGTGCGATTTATATTTTAAAAAGAAGAAAAAAAAACGCGTGTCACCGTTTTTCATTAATCAAACACAACACGAATTATTAAATGATATATTGTATATTGTATTTAAGAGCGTGGGTGAGAGTTTAGTGTCCACCATATTTATTGTTGTTGGTGGTGGTGGTGGTGGTCATCAGGATTAATCAATAAAACGATAATCATCATAATCATCATTATCGGATTGATTGATTGAATAAATGTGATATGTATATATATAATGTTACAATGACCAGAAAGAAAAAAAAACCACTACCACCAAGATTTTATTTTTTAACATTAGCAATTAATCATCCGAAAATGATGAATGTGAATTTTTCTTCTGATTTTCTTTTCTAATCAGAAGAAAAAATGTGTGAAATATAAAAAAAAACTGAATCCACTGATGTCATTTAACATGTTTTTTTTATTCTGTCTATATATAGATAATCAACATAGAAAAAAAAACAAACGCGTGTCCTTTTCACACACACAAAAAAAAATGTTTTAATGATTGAAATCTATTTTCATTTCTCCCTTGGAAACATTTTTCTGATCTGTTGTTGTTGTTGTTGACCGTGACTTTTTTTTTTTACTGTTTTGTTTTTTGTTTTTGTTCTTCACATCAGGGAATCTTTTTCAGTGTGATAAAAAAAAAGTTTCAAGTTTCTCTCTCTCTAACTATCATCATCATCATTGCGAGAATGTCAATGTGAATGTAATTTTTTTTTCTCATTTTGATTTGTAATGAAAAATGAAAAAATCAATACAATTGAATGGAATTGAATTCTATTCAATTCTCAATACACACACACACACACACACACACACTTTGTCGCTTTTGTTTTAATGACATTTTAATTGTCTTCAAAATATAAATGTGTTTGATTTGCCATCGTCGTCGTCGTCGTCGTCGTTACCGTCAATCACAGCTATTCATCATCATCAACATGGTCGTTACTATTAATGGAAACATACAACATGATCGCTATCGGATATATATTTATGGATGGTGATAATTCTCACAACACTTGATAGCGATCGATTCTTATCCGCATTCGTTGTTGTTATTGCTTGATAGAATCATTTTCATTGCTATAAATATAAATCACCCAAAAGATGAAAGATTCAAATGAAGAAGTATAAGATGGAAAAAAATTATTTTCAATGATCGATCGATCGATCATCGTGAAGATTGTATCAAAATAGCCAAAAAAATATTTTTTCTATTTTCTGTGTTCGTCAATGTCAAATGTAACGGTTGTGCCAGTATTCGTGTATTCCAATTGAAAATCCTCTTATTTTATGTTGTTTTTTTTTACAGATTCAGGCAAATGATCCATATATACATTTATAATACAAACGTGTATTATATGGTGACATGTTTTTTCTTTCGTTTTTTCTGTGATTGTTGTTATGCTTATGTGACATGTCCAACAACAACAACAACAACTAATGGGAAATTTGAAAAAAAAGAAAGTGTCGGATTTTACATGTTGGATATAGTTGTTGTTGTTGTTGTTATGTGTGTCCATACGCGTGTCCACCATCACCACCACCACCACCACCACCACCATCATCATCATAGTCATTGGCAGAAATCTATGAATGAAATGAATTTTTTTTTTGTCAGCAGCCAGAAACAAATGTTATTGTCACATCCGAAAAAAAACCGTCCATAAAATTAGAATCAGAATTTTTTTTTATTTTATTTTAGATTGATTTGATTTGATGATGTAATCATCATAGAAATAAAATATTTTGACAAACCATAAGTTTTTTTTTACATCAATCTGCCTTTTACAATGATGATTCAGTAAATTTGATTCTTTTTTTTTTTTGCTGCTGCTGCTGCTTGTCCTATGGATACACACGCGTACACACACACACAAACATTGATCGATCATGGTCAATTCATTATTGTCATCATCATCATCATCAGGTGATTGAAATAGACAGAAGTGACCACAATAACAACAGTTTGCTATACACACACACACACACACACTTCATTGACCACACAACATTTTTCTATATATCGATTTTTTTTTTATTATAATCGATGATGATGGCGATTTATTTTTTCCTTTTGGTTGACCACCATAATGATAACAAGATGTTGATGAATGATTTGACAGGTCGTCATCATCATCATCATCATCTCGTCAATAAT